CTGTCAGCCCTGTGCACAACACCACGCACAGTCTGAGTGTCAGCTTCAGTGACTCGCTCTTATTTAGTATTCCCTATATACGCTCTAATCTGTGTGGTTACCGTGGCCGGCCCCATGCACATTTTTGACCCAGCCCCTTGTCTCGAAAACAGAGCGTTCAGAGCTGCTGCTGGTAGTGAGCCTGTTCATTGAAATCACGCTGAAAGTTAGGGCTGTTTACAATCCAATAAAGGCACTCTACACCCTTCAATCTTAGTTATTTTTAACCAGAACAGAGATCAAAGTGTTTGCCGCCAATGTGCACAGTATGTTCCTGTGCAAAAGCTGTTCTCTTTAAAAGTAACATAAAACATGAGTTCTGACCATAGACTGTATCTATAAATGTATAGTTAATGTGCTACCCACCTCTTTCCAAATAGGAAGTTCACATGCAGGTTCTTCCAGCTCCTAGTGACTCTGGCTCTCATTGATTTACATTAGAATATTGTTGCCGTTCTCTCTGTAACTGCTGCTGTGAACCTCGTCATTTTGGTCTTAAAATGTTTGTATTAACCCAATGGATATTATGCTGGTGTTTTTTATGCAATTTTGTCCATCAAAAATAATCCTATTTATAATATAGAGACTGGCTCCAAATTAGCTCCTGTAACTGTGAGCATCACGAGCTTCATTTGAGTGGAGCTGAATGCTACCTCATCCTCGGTTAGTTCACTATTTTATCCAGTCTGTGGCTTATTGTCTATGGTCCAGACACAAGTGAGTGAAGCCTGTGGTGTTTAAGGGCCCCTTCAGACCATTGCTGTTTGTGCTGCGCTCAGATGATGACTCTGCACCCTGAGCATCCAGGAGCATTCACAACAAGCACACTCTGAGTCCTACAGGGGGCCCTGTTAAGCACACTTTATTTGATGTAGTATTTAATTTCTATGAAATAATTACCAATATTTAATTAGAATTAACACTGACTTATTAAAACAGCCAAAGCGTTAGAGTGTAACAAATACCAATAAAAACAGGTCAGAAATAATACAACCACATTTTACACAAATATTAAATTAGTAAGTTTAGCCTCTTGATAAAATCAACCTGCGACTGTGCAGGGGGCTGGTCCAGATCAAAACATCCAGGGCCAATTTCTTATGTCATGATTGTGCTACCTCTGGAATATTTATGTTTTAGCTGCTTGCTCAGACGTTTATTAATATGGGCTGTCATAGTTCCACAAAAACAAAAAGCTAAATAAAACTCTGTGGTAGTAAGCTACCACTGTGACCACAGAGCTCCTGTCATAGACTGACAAAACAGGGCTTCCATTATTCTCCATCCACCCTCCGACCACCACAACAAACACACACACACATACGCACACAGACACATACACACACACACACACACACAAACCACAAAGACCCCTCCAGGAGTGACATGTTTAGAATAAGTGCGCATGCAGTTTGGTACTAATATTAATATTCTATCCCATTCATTTAAAGGGACAGCAAAATAAAAAATATATATGTATATGTGTATATGTATATATATATATATATATATATATATATATATATATAGAGAGAGAGAGAGAGAGAGAGAGAGAGAGAGAGAGAGAGAGAGAGAGAGAGAGAGAGAGAGAGAGAGATGTTTATGCAGACAAATGGTTATAGCTTAGGCCATATGTTTGTTACATTTGCCAATAAGTAGTAACAATCAGTATATTTAGCTCTAGTTTATAAAGTTCACTAATGTATGTAGGACTTGTGGTGCTTGATGAAATGAAAAACAAAATTAAATTGTGGTCCAGTATTTTTGTTGCATTGCCCATCTTAACAATTTAAGAAATATTACGTTAGCATGTTGCATTTTTGAAAGTAAATCCACCTATTTTTACCCTGGCCACAATCTCAAAATCATTACCCCACATCCCTACAAATGTCCACACCAACCACACAAAACAGTGTTACACATGGTGATGTTTTCTAACGAGACTCTATTATTACTCACATGTGGTTGAGTGGTTGTCAATTGCCAAAACAGCCATGTTTTTTCATAATTTATCATGTTTGAAGGCTAACACCAACTCACTCATTGAAAATGCGTAGGAGCTGACACATGGAAAGCTCTATAGTAAAGCAGACATGACAGAATCTCCATTAATAACCCAGCCCAACTTTGAGTAGATGTTTTTTACTTGACATATGTTATTGATCCACAAGGAAGGTATTTGGACACAACAGTAGCTCACACATCACAATATGGATCTCTTGTTGGAGAACGAGCTTCTTTGTCCCTCTATAGTCTGGTGCAGTGATATACATACATGATGGAGATGGTTTGTCCAGTGTCTCTCACTGTGGTGAATGTCTCCAGCTCATGGCTGATTTTCATTTGACATGCTGCATTGATTAGTGTAACCCGCCGCCTGTATTTGATGTCGCACTCCGTCCTCCATCCTCCTCACTCAGAGACATTTTCTTTCTATTGATGTCAGCGTACACAAACAATTCCACCCACATTCATGCTGTACTCACATAATTATATAATGTCCAGCTAACTTCGTCGTTTCCAATTAAAAAAGTAAAATGCAAATTTACTTCATCATTACACCAACAGGCTTTTAACACCCTGTCACTTTTGCTTAAACATTGGTAATTAGCTTATGGCCAACATAAAGGGATTAGCCTATGAAACATGGATTTGAATTTAAGTAGTCTATCTGGTGCTGTGCAGACTTAAGACTTTCTTGCGAGTGTCATTTAATAAGTGTGCTGGACCAGTGCAGTCCCAATCCCAGTCTGACCTGGAACTCATGGCATCATTTCAGCTGTATGAAACACATAACGGAGCTCCACTGACAGTTCTACGTGTCCTTGTTGTTCTTGCCACTCCTGCATCACTCCCTGTTATGACATACCCAGTCCTCACCAATTTACAATCATCAACACCTAATGCTGTAATAGCATGAATCACAGAATGTGGGTCACATGCAGTACCAAGACCAGAGGAAAAAAGGGGTACACTAGGCCTGTATGTCAATATGTACATGAAAATGTGTGCTACATGTTTTTGATGCCCTGTTAAAGATTGTAAAATGTTGAGATCCATATTTTCTAATTAGCCTATGCATTACCATTGTATGTAGCCTGTACTCCTGCTGGTTTAAAGACTGTGCTGCAATCACTACTGAGCCTGGGTTGCCAGTGTCTTAAGCTGCTTATAGAGGACACGTAAAAATTATCTAACACGTCATTTGGGTTGTATTATTTTTTATGGGGTATGCCAGTGCTAACAACAATTAAGTTTTATATGGATTTACATTACATCTCAAATACTTTAATTGAATGAAAGGAATTCACATTAACCAGGTGTGCCTCTAAAAAAACAAAACAAAACTACAGTTTAGTAGCATTTAGTAGCAAAAGTGGGCGCAGCGGGATAACGTCAATAGGGACCATGCCTCTTGATAAACATGGCCTCCTCACTGAGCTGTAGAGGCTGAACTAGCACTTATTAGGTCCTGTAACCGTGAGCATCGTGAGCTTCATTTGGGTGGAGCTGAATGCTGTGGGAGACGTCACACTCGGTTTGTTCACTTTTTATACAGTCTATGGCTTATAGTCTATGGTCCAGACACAAGTGAGTTAAGCCTATGGTGTCTGCAGGGGCCTTATTAAGCACACTTTATTTTATATAGTATTTAATTTCTATGAAATAATTACCAATATTTAACTATATTTAACTACACTATTTGAACTAGCACTTATTCGTGGTTGGCTGCAGGTGCTGGGGTTTAGGTAGTAATCATTCAGAAAGAGATTTTTGGTTTAAACCATACACTGTATTAAGAAGTGGACTAAGGGAGTGTGACGTCACCTAAAGCGTTCTGCTCTAGTTAAATAAAGCTTATGAGGCCAGCAGTTATAGGCGTGAATTTGGAGCCATGTTCCACATTAGGAATAGCAATTTATTTACGTACAAAATAATGAAGTAAAAACACCAGGATCAGGTAGAGCGAGTTACAAATGCTTTAAGACTGAAATGATGAGGCTCACTGCAACAGTTACAGAGAGTGGGGCAACAGTTTTTCAGTATAAAGTCAATTTCCAAACAGAGTCGATGGAGCTGGAAGAGCATCTATGAACACTTCCTATTTGAAACGTGGCGGCCAGCAGGTTAGATATGTCCATTTATAAAGTCCATGGTTTAAACCAGCAGGATTTTATAATTGTCAGTGGTGACCCAAATGAGAGACTCTCACTGCTTTCTGATTGAATAGTCGTCTTGAGAACTAAAACTCTCCAAAACCATCATGCGTAATGCTGTAATTAAGATTAAGAAAAATTACAACTGTTATCAGTAGAAGAGTAGCATGCACATGTCCCCATTGCCCTATGTTCCCTCAGCTTTATGTTAACCCATTCCTAATTTTTCTTTCTTTCCAAAATTAGGCTCTATGTTCCCACATTTCTTTATCATCAATTTGCATCAGATTTGATCTGCATTTCTCCCAATTTGGTAGTTAATGTCTCTATTACCAACCTATTATCCAGCAGCAGACTACAGATGTAATGCAGAGGTCATGGTGGAGAGGTGCGTAGGTTGAAATCACTTTGAATCATCCCTTTAAGCTCAGTATAAAAATTTAAATGACTTGAATTAGAGCTTAATTTTGAGAAAAATAGAAATAAGAAAAATCTTAGAAATGAGGGAACATAGGGCTGTGGGAACATAGGGTTGACCCCTTTTCTGACTGAATAGTCGTCTTGAGAACTAAAACGCTCCAAAACCATCATGCGTAATGCTGTAATTACAGCTGTTAGCAGTAGAAGCTAGATTTGACTTCACCTCTTATTTGGGGACATAGATATACGTCATAATGTGAAATATGAATTTAAAATGGTACATACAGTACTTTTAAGATCGTCCCACAAATTCGCACAACGTGTCCCTATTTTACTTTTAGGGGCGGGCCCAACACTACGCACTTTACGCAGAGGAGCGCGCGTGGACGGTACGCACTGTCCGCCGGAAGCGCACCGTACGCCGCTGTTATGAGAGGGCTTTTGTAACATACTATTTACACCTCTTTACACTGCGAGGTTACATCACATTGAGGTGACCACTGCAGACACACTAGCTACTGTAAAGGCGCGCTGGTGACCCTTCACTGGCGCACACGAAATGCTTCCAGCGAGCAGATATTGCACTAAAGGTACGAGCTAACTCCTGCTAACTGCTGCTAACACTTCACTGGTGACTTTCTGTATTCACTGAACACTTGGCATGCTTGCATTAAACATATTCTTACTTCCTCTCACCGATCAACAATCATCCAGCTTCACATCTGTCGCGCGTAATTCGTTTTGGTGCACATTTTTATTCAAGCAGTGCAGTCTGTAACGTGTTTAAATTAGCATCGAGCTAAATCTAGGGTAAAGTTCAACCAATATATAGGTCATTTGAAGCGTGTCCTTGTATTGGGTGAAAGATAAACCCTGTGGACTTTCTTCGGTCTATAGTAGTTTATTGAAGTAATAGCAGAGTGCATGTGCTTAGTGTTTTGCAATAGCAGGTGTCATTCTGGGTCTGATTTGTTGAAGTGTATTAGTATTTGAAGTATTTTGCTATTGGTTGCAGCACAGTAGCTCTATCAGTAGTTCCCAGAATGCCCTTCTCTGATAAAAACAACTGTATGTTGACATTTGTACTGGTCCTAACTGGAATATTACTGCAGTATGCTTTGTGGTTGCTTTCATAATTCTGTCTCTGTGTTGAGGGCGGTAGTAGCCTAATGATTGAGCAATGCAATATAATTTTCTTTTGATAAGACATAAATGAATGAAACTTCCAAACCGGTAGACCTGTCACAATTTGGGCTGTCCAAAAATATTGAAATATCAATATATCGAATCGTTTAATGTGATGATACAGTATCAATATCATGGGCTGCTGTATCGATATATCACCAAGAGTATTTTTTGGTATATTTTACAAAATTATTTTATTACAGCTATAGTTTTGTCGCTTGTTTAGAAGAAGGAAGCTCATTTATGCGACACATTTGACATTTTCACTGTTTTGATGATTAAAATGTTTGTTTCATATCAACTTTGCACAAGAAGTGGTTTAACAAAGACTAGTATAACAGTCATGATTTAGAAATTATCTTTTATTGAACCGTATCGAATAGATTTGAAATATATATATCGTATCGAATAGAAAGCTCACTGTATCGAGATATGTATCGTATCGTGGCCTATGTATTGAGCAACTTCTTAATGATACCCAGCCCTGGTGGTCACGATAACAAATTCTGAAATATGATATATTACTACAGATAATCTCATGATACATGAAACTACTTTTACCACTGACACAATAACCCTTAAGCAGAATGATACTAGTTAACCTTTTTGCCACGTGAACCATACTGGAAAAAATGTGGTCAGCGATAAATAAATGGCACCATAAAACAATTAAGTAGTTAGCTTTAATATCTATAATCAACCATAGAAGTTAATTATTCAGCCAACTACATCTTAAATGTTTTCAGATAGGCTTAATACTACAAAAATAAGACAAAATCCCTTACTACTGCCAAGAAAAGATACATGGGATAATTATTGAGCCTGAAAAAATATATTTCTATTCTCCCTAGTATCCGATCAGCTTTGTAAAATCACACTTTGTGAATGATGTAAAGTTACTTTTCATTTAGCTTTACTTTTTGATCTATAAATTGAGTGAAATTACAAAATTTGGTGGTCATGATTGTGATTATATTGTGACCTGAATAATGACCTATTATGTATTAAATAATGTGAGTATTCCTGACATCCATATTAATCATTTGACATTTATTTAATTCGATGAAAAACACCTTGAGATGAACCATCTAAATTTTAATTATAATTTAATCATTTGATGTTATTATGCACTGATCCAGCTTTTTCAGCTCCGTTACAGATTATTGTGTGTACATTTTCTTTGCACCTGTGGGAGTTTTTTGTTATGTTTTAGCTATACGATAAGATTTAAGATGTAAAAGGTTGAATTAATAACTTTTATGATGCAAGTGCTTAAGTGTTTCTTTCTACTGTTTATTTATTGCAACTCAAGTTTGTTTTTGTTTTTTTGTTTGTTTTTTTCTTTACGATATTGTAGATTTAGAATAGTTTATGTGGCTTGAATCTGTTCTTAGGTTTTAGTGACAGTGGCATTAATTCAATTTCATTGTTATCGTTTATTGACTATATTTACTGCATCAATATATCGCACCTCAAAATGTGTTACTGTGACAGGCGAACAGGAAACAAGACCCTGGATCACTGTCTCAGGGGGCCCTGTCCTTAGACCCTCATCTGCAAGGAAAATCCCAGTGTACAAAGAGAAAGCTCAAGAGAACCACAGTGAAGGAGAAATCCACTCCTACGGAAAGACAAGCTGAAAAGGACACGCATGCATTTCCTGTTTACATACTGGGAAATGCTTTTTTTAATGGGATGCGGACAGTACACAGTGGTCTGTCATTGTCACAAAGTGCTGCTATTGCAATATACTCAAAATCTACAATATAACAAGTGTACCCCAGCTTTAAATCCATACATAAAACAAAAGTAGATGAATGAAATAATTAATGACAATGGATAGTAAACTGTAGAAGGCAAAGATGGATACTAAAAAAAGTCATTCACAGATTAGAAATACCCTTCCTTGAGTAGCTTTAGAATGATCTTGAACTGTATAAGAGCAGATAGAAAACAACCAGACCACTTTTGGCTGAGGGATTACACAGATAGAATGAAAATCACATTGTATTGTCTAAAGAAAGAGTGTTGATTATCATTATGGTATCAGAATCGGTTTTGAGTATTGAGTCTGTTCCTTAGTATTGAAATTTTAGTATTGTGACTACACTAGTAGAAAAGGATGTTGGTGACGAGTGGGTTAGTTTTGGTTCATATGTTTACTGTCAGCTGTTTTAATGTGTTTAAATCTTTGCTTTTGATTGGATTGTTTTTTGATCCCTCGCTGTTTTTGTTTGTGTTTTTTCTTTCAACTTGATGCTATGTTATTTCAGTTCTGTAAAAACAATGAATATACATTGAAATTATAAAAAAGAAAATGATGAGTTACGGTATCGCATGTTCTCTCAGCCCACAGGTGTGTGCGAGCATGGAGGTCGGTGAAGACAGACCATGTGTGTCCTCAGTTGTACACGGCTCTGCACAGGAGAGCGTGCTCCTCTGTGGCCCCTCGCATCACCACACACTACACTATCCATCCCAGAGACAAGGACCCCCGATGGGAAGGTACAACATTGGATTTGTTTTTTTAGATTCTATGCAGGTAGAGCTTGTGGAAGGGGCTTATAGATAAAAAATAAATAAATAAATAAAACTAGTATGTAACCTATTTGTTAACGTTTCTGTTGCAGCCACTTCCTGTCCTATATTACACAAAGTTGACTCTTGTGAGCTTTAAGCCATGTTAAAATGTGGTTACCTCCTCAAAAACATACGCAAACTTGTGTTTTGTTTCATTCACATTGAGTAACCCTAGTTTATTATTGGTCTGTTTACATCTACAAAGCTCAAAATGCTTTTTTGATGAGCAAACAACATTATGCTGGGGCCCTCTTAAACTGCGTATTGGAGACTGTCTGGCCGTACCTCATTTAAGTGCTCATAACCTTGAGAAATTTCTCAACCAAAATAAAGAAACAAGATGAAACATGTTTAAACTCCACTTTTAACTTTTCTAGTGGAGGGACAGCCACATTCTTGGCTTTATGGAGCTTTTATTGCTTCTTTTGGAACATTCCGCTTTTCTTTTCTCTGTGGAGACAACCAAGCCAAGTTACATGTCAGCTCTGTGGAGAGGTGACCCAGCTGCAGTAAGAAGCTGCATAATGCACCTGTAAGAAGATGAAATATTTATGACATCTAACACAGACAGTAGTGTATAAAAATATTGATGGGTAAAAATCTGGTCATTTTACGCAAATGTTTCTTACAAATTCTTTTGCAGGGGTAGTCTTTTAAATGATTTTTTTCCACTGTGAATTATTACAGCATAATCACTGAAGGTAGACTCAGTTATTTCTCTGAACTGTGCCACACAGTAGGGCTGCATGATTTGGGAAAAAAATATTTAATTGTGATTTTTCTGACAAGAATTGAGATTTTGATTAGATTTGCGAATTATGTTTTAATAGCATCCAAAGTTCACATTTCAAAAGTGTCCAGAAGAACTGACGAAAAACATGTTTTACAAAGTTAAACTACAAGGTTAACAGTGTTTACAGAATAAGACAGAACATTTTGTGTTTGAAGGAAATTATGTTACTGCAAAAGTTGCAGACTTTGTGATTTGCCAATTTGCGTCCGTTCACATTTTGATTTGATTGCAATAATCGGGCGCCCCTAGTAGTGAACTGCCACAGATAATTTCTATATGCGCTGGACAATAATAGTCTGAAAACATGACCGTCCAGCAGTAATAATATGTCAACTTCATATTACATATCATATTGGTGGAATGCTTAAATGTGGACAGTTTTGGATGACTTGCCTTACTGCGTTAAATTTACTGTCTATAAATGCCATGGTTGTATCTCTTCCAGGGGTGGAGATGGAGCGCTTCGCAGATGAGGCAGATGTGGTGATTGTGGGTGGGGGTCCGGCGGGTCTGTCTGCTGCCATCCGCTTGAAGCAACTGGCCCAAGAGCAGGAGAAGGAGCTAAGGGTGTGCCTGGTGGAAAAGGCCTCTCAGATTGGGGCACACACACTGTCAGGGGCGTGTCTAGAACCCAGCGCCCTCACAGAACTCTTCCCCGACTGGAAAGAGAGAGGGGTAAGCGTGCTGCTGTTCAAGTCATGGAACATTTAGTTACACTCTTTTTCATTGCATGTATTCTTCTGCTTGAAAAGATTTTGACAGATTTTGATGATTCTCTCATTTATTAATATTCATATTAGACATTCATGTTTTTTTATCATTTTTTTTGTCAAACTATAATTTCTGTGTCCATTAGAGGAGTTTTGGCCCAGTTCAACATCGCTGCTAGGTAACAGTTTGCCTAGTGTGAACTCATTTCATTTCCAACCAGGAAGTTAAATTTTAAGCCTTTTTTCAAATCTTAAATTGAATGATCTATGTTTTAGTTAAAAAACTCTTTTAGCAAAAAGAGTTGTCCAATTTGTGGAGGTAAGGTTCAGGCATACATTTTCTGTCAGAGGGGTTAGTGTATGGAACAGTCTTAGTGATGATTAAAAAAAAAAAAGTAACACTGTAGAAGCCTTTAAAAAAAGAGTAAAAAGCATGATGTTTTGAAAGATATAGAGCTCTGGAATTAATGAGTTATGCATAAAATTTTGTTTGTTTTAAGTAATATTTTGTCTCATATATACAGTAAGTTGTAAGTGAAATTGTAAATGCAAACTTGCTGTTCATACGATGCCTTTATTTTTTGGAATTCTGTCATTGTTTAAGAGGGTTTAGCATTATAAGTACTTTTTACTTCATCCTAAATCCTTATGGTCATGATCCATGGAGTTTTTGTCTATGTTTGGTTTTTTGTTTTTTGTAGTGCTGCAAAATGACCAAATAAAAACTACTACTACAACAAAACCCAACATTTTACATTTTGGACAGACACTGTGTATATAGATGGATATAGCTAGCCGTTTGTCCACAAATCAAGGCGTGTCATCATTAATAACAGGGGTGTGACGATATCCAAGTCTCCCGATATGATATCGTCATGGTATGAAACTCACGGCACGATATTTATTGCGATATCATTGTAAAGCTCATGATTAGGGATGTAACAATATCCAAATCTCTCGGTACGATATTTTCACGATATACATCTCACTGTACGATACTTATTGTGATATTTTGTGGAGGTTAAACGGCTAAAACTGTTAATGTGCTACTTTTTCCTCTTAAAATGCCTTGACAAGACTTAATCCAAAGAAAGAAAACTTAAAAATGCTTAGAACTGTTATTTCTTCATGTAGTCTGCACTGAAATGTAGCATGGTCTACGTAGTTCTTTGTGTCTTTTTTTTTTTGTTATTGCTGCACCATAACTCTTAATTTAAGCAAAGAAACTTGTAATTCATTATATTTTGATGGTCCACGATATTATTATGAGAACTCTGACAATACGATATCACGATATTTCTGTTATTGTTACACCCCTAATTAATAATGGACCAATTAGGCGCCTTCTTTCCCTGTGGTTAACTCCTGCTGGCATTAGCAACAGGTTTGATTGACAGCTATCATATCTCTTCAAGCGCCCCCTGACAAACCAGCGGTGCGTGCTGGAAGGGCCAAGTACCTCCAAGAACCTTGCCCCAGATCAGCTCTTTAGTTGTGGAACTTGGATGCAGATTCATGGCTGTAACTGCGGCCCTGACTGGCTTTATTTGGCTGCAGCTGAACACGATGGATGAGGCCACACTCCCTCAGTCCACTTACAGTCTGTGATTGTGAACAGAGGACAGATTCAAGAGCAGCTTGCTGTCAGATCCAATTCATTTTTCAATTCATTTCAAGCACTGGGAGAGGCCCAATCACAGTTCTCACCTTTCTTGGACTGAAGTATCTAATCTATACAATATTGATGCTGCAATTCTGGCTAATGCAATAATCTACATCACACAATTGGTGCAAAAAAGATTATAGTTGTAAGCTTAACAACCTCTAGCCTCCCAACACTGCAGTACTTTTTTTGTGTTTGGAATCAATAAAAATGTTTAATAATTAGATGCAGACAGCCAACAGAGGTCTGATTTTGACCCTAAGAGCTGCTTTATAACATAATATACTGTAGCAAAACTAATTTAACCGCCAAGTTTCATTAGACTTTTCTATTATTATTATTTTTTTTTATTATTTTTGACTTGGGAAAACATGCATTGGAAATGTAACATCTCCATGGAGACAAGCAGGTGGCAAACCCTCACCAGAAAAGTTGCACAGTGCACCTTAAAATGTACTTATTTGAGCTTTAAGCCGCTATTGCCGCATCAAAAGCATAACAGGTGTTGTGTTTGTTTCATTCACACATGTTTGGTAGACAGACTAATAATAAAGGGTTACTCAAAGTTCAAAATGCTCTGTTCCACTTTGTGATGTCATGATACCATAGTTTTCAAATTAACAGCTCTTTGACTGAAAATATCCAAATGATTCTATTAAAGGAGTCGAAAGTTTCAAAACACATTGAAGCCCTTTCTGTATTACTACGTGAACAAGCGGTAGTGTTTTCTGTTTGAGAGAAGAACTCATTCTCAATATGCAGGTTTTGTGTAGTAAACGTGTGAAAAAAACAAAACTCTGGATATGTTTTTGATGAGAAAACAGCAATACAATGTAGATCAGAAAATAGCTTATTATTTTTCTGAAATATTAATATGATGATTCTTTACAAAAGGCTTGTGAGGGCGTTCATACAGAATAAGCAGAATTTCTCTCATACCATGCACTTCCTTATTCTCCATGAGATTATATCTGTGACAATACTGTATCTTGAGATTTGGATGTTTAATTTTCACAATCTATTAACCAAAAATCTCATTAAATTTGCTACATATTAACATTTTAGGAAAGGGGAAATGAAACTTTGTTGATTGCAGATGTTTTCTCATTTGGTTGAATAAATCTCATTTATTCATTGTATTAAATGTCATCTTGTTCTCCCCTCACAGGCTCCCCTCCATACTCCAGTGACTGAAGACATTTTCAGCATTTTAACCGAAAAACACAGAATACCTGTTCCCATATTGCCAGGTAATTTCAGCTTTTCAAAACATCCAATTATTTATACTGGTCAGTGAATAGAAAATAACCTGCCATATTTTTGCTAGTAGTTTGAAATATAATAGCCATAATTGAAATATTTGGATTGAGGTCAGACAATTCAAGGCTTTGTTGCGTTCTTATTTAGGCCACCTTAAAAGTAGGTAAATGCATGAGGCATGTGTTATTTAAAATATATATATATATCTAAACATAAATCTATGTATATATACACTGCACACAAAAAAATTGAAGGAACAATTTGAAAACACATCTCGTATGAAAAAAATACGTTTATCTATACAAATATGGACAGGGCAATGTCTTAGGAACAAAAGGATGCCACCTCTTTTAATGGAAATGATCAGCAGGTGCACCAGAGACAACAATGAAACAACCTCTAAAACAGGACTGGTTTTGCATGTGGAGGTCATTACAACTTTCTTCCTCGTGGTCCTTTTTTTGGCTGGTTTTCCACTAGTTAGAAGTTGCACAGATTGTACAACTTCTCCAGGATGCCACATGGAGGAGATTTCAGGAAGATGAAGGGATTGATACAATTAACTGGCCCTAATGATCAACTGACTTAAACCTGAAAACCTCTGGGACATTATGTTTGGGTCCATCAGACACTAACATTTTCCAACTCAGACTGTTCAGGAGCTCAGTGATGCCCTTACATCCTACAAAACACCATCCGTTATCTCATTAGGAACATGCCACAGCGTTGTCAAGCACGTGGGGGCCACACAAGATATTGAGATGCATTTTGAGTTCCAGAAATAAAATTTTTGCAAAATGGACTAGCCTGCTACATCATTATTTCCCTTTGATTATAGGAGCTAAAAATGTAATTTCCATTAAAAGAGGTGGCATCCCATTGTTCCTCAGACATTGCTCTGCCCATATTTGCATAGATATCCAGTAGTCTTTTTTTTTTTTTTTTTTTTTTCACATTGAGATCTGATGTGTTTTCAAAGTGTTCCTTTATTATAATTTTTTTGAGCAGTGTATTATACATATTCAAGACCACAATGATTTTTATAACTTAAACTGCTTTGACTGCTGTAGGGCTGCCCATGAGGAACCATGGTAACTACATCGTGCGCTTGGGCAACCTGGTGCGCTGGCTGGGGGAGCAGGCTGAGGAGCTGGGTGTGGAGATCTACCCTGGATATGCTGCTTCAGAGGTGAGTGTCATTAAACTGTCAAGACTGGTACATTATAGATAAATGGTCTCCACCGGTAATGACTTGATAATTCAAGGCATTTTTATGACACAAGTGCTGGACTATGAAATGCACTATGACAGAAAGTCAGACATAAAAGGATTAAAAATGAACTATTAAATCTCCAGTTACGTGACATTCAACTATCATCAACTATCAGCACCGTCGTATAGTGCAGGCTACAGACAGTTCCTCCTTTTAAATTCACAATGCAAACAAATAAAAACATAATCATCATTGAAAATTCAGCTTAACAGGACCATTTTGTAGCCAGGCTGGTGCGACCTAGTGCCTCCGCTCAATTTCATTTCTCTCCAACAACTAGGTCAGGAATCAAAATACACTGGACAGTTTGCAAAAACCCCGGAAGTGCAAGTTCGGCCACCAGCCAATCAGCAAAGAGTCAAATATTCAGTGTTTGTAACGATTCCCAAGATCGAGGATTTAAAGCCGGAATAAAGAGAATAATTGGTGAATTTCATCAAGGGGAAAGATGTTATTGCCCTTCTTCCTACGGGATTTGAGAAAAGCTTAATATACCAGTTAGCATTGCATACGTCACGACCAAATAGCAGCGATTGGTTAAATGATAAAAAATACCTGCCTACCATCGAGCAAACGAATTCTAAAACTACGAAGTGCAACCGGCTGATGAATTATGCTAACCATTTTGAGCCTTGATTTAAACATTCAGATGATTGCCTATTATACGGTATCTTTGGAAATTATTGATCAATGTGTTTTCATGCCCATAAACAAGAAAGTGCCACTCAGCTTTGACAGACAGTGAGTAGTTCTTAAGAAACATCATTAAATGCTTGTTTCATCTCCAGATGCCTCTCACTGGGGTAATTAAAGTCCTGGCTGTCACTCAGATATACTGTAGTGTATGCTCTGAAAACTAAATGTTATTGTTATAGTTAGCGTTGACATTGTCTCAGTATGTACCTGCTTTATGGCGTGGTTAATACAGACGGCGACAGAACATGGCCGACTGCCAAGGGCTCTTCAGGTAATGGGAGCAGGCGGGCGGTCACATGTTGTTTACAGTTTTGTCCCCGAAGAACTTTTATGAATGAACCATGAAAGTCACCTCTCCAACAGTGTGTCCTTGGGCAGCTCTGACTTCTGGACTAAAAGCTTTTTGCCACCAACTTTAATGGAGGAGTGAAAGAATAATGCAAAGTATGCCTAAAGTAAACTACCAGTCAAAAGTTTGAATAGACATGCTTTTAAGTCCTACATTCTCATTAAAGGCATCAAAACTATGAATGGACACCTATGGAATGGAGCAAACAAAACATCAAAGTAACTCAACTTGTTTTTATTTATTTCTTGGCCCTGAAACGGCACAGCTGTGAAGTGAAAAAACTATTTCAAGTACCTTTTATGAAGCTCACTGAGAGAAAGCCAAGGGTTTGTAGCATTGTCAACAAAGCAAAGGGTGACCACTGGCTACTGGGAGGATTTAAATTTAAAATAAAATAAAACTTTGCTACATGATTCAATATATCTTGCATTATATATTTGATGTCTTCTCTATGTAAAATGTAGAAAATGGTAAACACAGAAAATAAGCACTGAATGAGAGGGTGTGTCCAAACATTTGACTAGTAGTGTACATTAGAGAATCATGTTTTTTTTGGTTTTTTTTAAACCAAATAAGTGAAAACTGTACCCACATGCTATGTGTTTCAGGTTTTGTTTCATGAAGATGGGAGTGTAAAAGGAATTGCTACTAATGATGTGGGCATTGCCAAGGATGGATCACCAAAGGTACACCCAAAACACATACCATAGATGAAATCCTCCAGCTAATGTAGTCCTCCTGACCAAAACTAGCTCAAGATCTAGAGATGGGTCCCACTGTCAGAGTCCTCTTGACAGTTTGCCCCGGTGGCAATGAAGGACAAATTTCCCTACAGGGACAATAAAGTGTAACTTCACATCTGTAAATAATGATTTGTTTACTACTCAGACTTGTCCAAATTTATTTAAAAAGTGTCACGCTACAATGGCAATAACCATAGATTTTTTAAAAGTTTAAAATAGTGGATGACTGCATCTACACCTAGAATAGTTCAGATAAATTAAGTGGAATATTGATAAAAATCTTACAAAACACTTTGTACATCTTATTCTGTTGAAGTGCAAATGACAGGTTTCATGTTTTTCTAAGTATTACTTGCTCTGCTAGTATAGTACCTGTGATAAATATTTATAATAGTTTTACATAATTTAAGTGGCAGTTTGTGGAAAAAAGTCAAAGAAAAGTACAAAAAAGGAAGTAGGTAGAGTTCTAAAACAGAATCTCTCTGCGTATGCCATAAAGATTGAAAAGTCCATCTAAAATGCAGAGACAATTCATGCTCAAAGAACAAATTTTTCTGACAGATTAAACTATGATTTAACAAAATAAAGGTGTTGTTGTCTTTTTTTGTTTAACAACTCTTATCAGGGTTCTCATGATCATGGAAATCCTGGAAAAGTCATGGAAATTGAAAATGTCATTTTCAAGGGCTGGAAAAGTAATGGAATTTTAGTATCTCTTTCATGTAACTACAGTATTCTGTTAAGTTATCATTAGGCTATTATGATTATTTCCGAACGTATGCACTTTTTGTTTAAAAGAGACGACATTAAATGCACTGACAGTATTTTGAATGCTAAAAAACTATAATCCCAAACCGTAAAGTCAGTGGAAAGGGTTAGCATTTCATATTTAGCTCTAAAAGTATGATCAATTCTACACATGTAGGTTAAGTCATGGAAAATTCAGTTTAGGTTATGAAAAAGTTTTGAAATTTTGTCAGTGAAAAAGAGTGGGAACCCTGTATTATGTAATTTAGACAGAAATTAGCCATTGTTAAAGGTGCACTATGCAACTTTTTGGTTGGGAGTCCATCACCTTTTTGTTTCTATGGATATATTATTGCTCTTCCTGCAATGTTCCACAGTATGACACTAAACAGCTCTACCTTACATTAAATTATTAAATTATGGGTGGTATTATATCTTAAAAATACCTACAGAAACAGGCATTCAGACTGTGAGCGGAGTCGCCCCTCCACAGCTCTGACCTGTAACTCTGTCGGGTTTGGTCTCCATGAAGATAGAAAGGTTTAATATTATACTGTGAAACTTACCAGATGAAGCAATAACATCTCCATGGAGAAAAGCATTTGACGGACTCTCCACCAGAAAAGTTACACAATGCACCTTTAACATTATGGTTGCTAGAACGGAAATTACTTCTACGTATGTCATATCCTCTGCCCATGTCCAACCACGAAGTAAAATAATATATTTTAGAACCAGAATTAAAAAACTAAGCAACATTTTTAGTAAAATCTCAAAAATAATGATGTTTTATTGATAAGATACTCTTAACCTGTCAAATATACTCCAACTGATTTTTGGGTTTCTTATTATTATTTCTGAAAAGGGTTGATTTGAGTATGACTGTATGACGCCTCCTCCTCTTCTTGCTCCAGGATGTTTTCGAGCGAGGGATGGAGCTGCATGCTAAAGTCACCATTTTCGGAGAGGGCTGTCACGGACACTTGGCCAAACAACTGTACCAGAAGTTTAACCTGCGAGAGAACTGTGAGCCGCAGACTTACGCCATCGGTCTGAAGGAGGTAAGAATGCACGGACCGCATAAGGTTAGAAAGTTTTCTATGCATTGCCAGTTCATACAAGAAACTCTTTTCAAATCTGCTCAGGGTGGTAGATTTTCTTTCTTTTCATGTAGTAAAGAAACTCATTTACTTGTGCCCCAGTGCAGATATGTTGCCAAAAAACAGCTCTTAGGTCAAAATCAGACTGTTGTATAATGTCTGAATCTAATTATAAAGCGCTTTTATCGGCTGCAAACTGGAAGTAAGACTGTTAGTATTAGGTATTGTATTCAATCTGGGCATTTTTAGACATGCTCCTTGGATCAGATTAAAGACTGCCATACACTACAGTCTTAAACAAACTTAAAGTGTGCACCAAAAAATCGTATGAGGTTTTAAATTTTACGATCCTCAGACTCCAAAGGCTGCCTGTCTAAACAAAACAACTCACTTTGCACTTTTACTTTGGATGCAAGTCAAAACTGTTGTTATTATTTGTGAAGAAGTGGTGCAGTGGAGAAGTTCAGATAAATGCTTTTAATGGACAGAAGACTGGTGATAAACTACACAGGAATTCTAATTAAATAGACAATATGGATGAGAATGTTGCAGTTTAGACTTGACAACTTAACAACGCGAGGTGAGTAACAAAGACGTCCAATTATCTGCCTGAGTTTGTATCTCATGCCTCTGTGTGTCTGTCATTTATTCATTCAGTAGAGCAGCTCAGATTCGCACATAAACCACGCACATAAGCAGAGCAGCGGTTTCAAAACTGCATACAAAGATCCAAGTTTGGTCATGTCTCCCTGAAATCGGGAAGAAGAAAATAAGTATTTAAATTGGACTTAAACACAGACTGAGGAGGCTCTAAAGCAGTTTAAACATTATTAATGACAGAGATAGTATTTGTTTTACCTCTCCGATGTCATCACGTAGCTTTAGGAGTGAAAAACAAACTCTGGACAGATCTGGCAGCAGAGGGACAGGAATGACTTGTTTATGCATATTAGGCTGCATTCAGACTGCAGCCTGGAGTGACCCAAATCCAATTTTTTTCACCCCTATGCGACCTGTATCTGATCTTTTAATGACAGTTTGAACGACACAGATCCGATTTTTTTCAAATGTGACCCAGGCCACTTGCATATGTGCTCCTAAAACCGATACATATTAAATCTTTTGACATACGACTTCAGTGTGAACGGCCAGACATTCATCCCACCTACACATCAAGCTTGTCAAGTCAATGGAGGGAAAGCGAGGTTAGTGAGTTCATTATCATTTGGAGGGATCGCTGTATTCAGGCCAAATTGGAGGGGCCTTATCAGAAACGGGCAGTTTTTGAAATGATTGCCAAAGAAATGGTCGAGCGCGGCTACAGGTGATCCTGGCTCCAATAACAACGAAAAATTAAGAGCCTGTGAGCCAAATACAAGGAAACTAAAGACTCAAACAAATGAAGCAGCCGTGGACATGTAACCTGTCCATTTTATGAAGAACTGGGCCGTATTTTGGGACACAAGCCCAACGTTTAGGCAATTTCCATTCCACACTGAGAACACTTGCTGCTTGTGATGTCATTGTGTTTTCCAATGCACATGTGGGACACTTTTGGGGCGTTTAAAGTTCACTCTGGAGATCACATACAAGTGAATGACCTCACCAAAAAATCAGATTTTGCAAAAAAATTTGAATTGAGCATTAAGCCTTGCAGCCTTGTTTGAACGTAGCATAAAGTATACATGTGGTTTGGGCTGGCTTCTCTAAAGACCTCAAACACATAGTCTAAATAAAATGGGGGAAAAAACACTGCCTTTAGGCTAAAACATCACTTAATGTCTCTGTCTCAGTGAGTGTAAATATGCCTTGACAGCAAAACTCTACGCTGGTCTCTGAGAGTTATGAAAAATGCTTATAAACTCATAGTGACGGCAAGCTCAGAACGAATTAGAAATAGTTCATTTTAAACAGTTTGCAGTGGTCCAAAGTTATTTTCACTTTCCTGTTTTTTGTGTTTTTATAAATAAAGCACAGCACCTTTATTAAAAAGCGCCTAAAAGTAATTAATCATATCTTGTATCCAAAAATAGATTTATAGATTTTATTTTCTGATCTCTTTACAAAGTGAGTATTAAACCATATAGTTCTTTTCTCTCTTTCTCCAATTAAGTAATTATGAATTTTGTATTTAAAAGTTTGTTTGTATAGTTGGCCATTTGAGGTAAAGAAACATTTGTTGAACAGATGTGACATTGATTTATAAAAGACATTTCTATAATACATTTTTCACATTTATTTGTTTTAAATTTGGTATTAACCAAAGCATAGAACAAGACCACTAAATACAGAGACAGCTGTGCAGTGTCTGTGCTGTGCTTTAGAAGAAAAGACACCAGCTGGGAGCTTTTCTCTTTATTGATGGGATAAAATTAAATAATTAGTACATTATTACCCAAAGAAGGGATTAATTGCTATGAATGATAGTTAATAGTGCAAATTTTGTAAGTCCTTTCAAGTGTATGCTATTAAGAACCTAATTACAGTGTCTTAAGAAAAAAGATTTCTCAATTGCAACATTACCAAGTAAATTAAAGGGGCACAATGTTAACTTTTCTGATAAAAGGATGCGCCACCCACTTGTCTCCATGGACTCAACCACCAGGCTAAGTTACAGGTCTTCTATTTCATTTATTCATTTATGCACAAAATGGGGTCTAAATGTTACGGCTGTGCAAAAATCTATAGATCGATGACAAGGCATGCTTGTTTAATCGACAGGTCTACAGCCAATCGTGTGGCAGTGAGTTCTCTTGGCCGCTGACGAGGATTTAGACTCTTGTTTAGGAAAAAGCGCCTGAGCCACAGCACGTTCCTTTACGCCTCCGTACGTGGTCACAAGTTTTAACTTAAATCTGCTCAATTTCACTAAAAGTCCAGTCTCTTTCCCTTCACGTGTCTGCGTCTGCGTCTGCGTCTGAGTGGGCGTCTGCGTCTGCGTTTGCATCTGCATCTGCGTGGGCATCTGTGTGTGCAATGCCATGTGTCCCGCTCCTCGCCTTCCTCTCTGATCCGACCACAGCTCTTTCTCTCCTCTGGGGCTTATCATTAGAATCTAAATTATGGAAACAACTATTTTCTCACCATTTATGAATGAAACTTAAGACCTCATTTATCCCATGGACATCGCACGTGTTTCTGATGATAGAGGTAACTCGCGTCTACATGTGTTTCTGCTGCTAACGAGCACAACACAAACTAATTCCTGCTTTGTGTGGAGGTGGATTTTTCCAGAATTACACACCCTGACACCCTGCCTTTTATGCCTGAAGTCCACGTCTATATTTTTAATAAGATGGAATAAGATCTAATAAAAAATCGAGATGATCAATATGGGGGTAAAAAAATTGTTATTCTTTTTTTTCCCCCATATCGCCCAGCCCTAGTTACATACTATAAAAAGACATCTTGACCTGGAATTGTGTGGTCCTGTTTGTAAACTCTGAAGCGATCTGCGCTCAAGAGAGGAGAGAAGGAGCCAGTCTGATGAAGGTTGTGTTTACTGTATGATTGATAGATCCCTTTTACTTTATATTTCCAAGAAAGATCTCACCAAATCACAGCTGTCTGTGGAAAATAAACACAGTGGTTTGTATTCATTGTATTCATTTTTTGGTATTTCAGAGCCTTTCACACTTAATGTACATGCACCAGAGAATTTTAGTTTTCTTTTAGTCAGAGTTCCACATACGTACCCCTGTGGAGAAGTGCTGCTGGTCACTGTAAATAAGTATGTTTTTTGGTTTTAAAGGTTGTATGGAGGATTTTTTTTTGTTTCAAACTGTCAGTGAAAGATTAAAATACCATTACAGAGCCGCAGCAACTTTGTAATTATGATGACCAAAAAAAAAAAGAACGAAAATCTATCAACTGTGGACATGTTGAGGCCAGATAAACATCAACCAATAGAAAACGAGGCTCCCTCATTTTCTATTGGCTGTTAGGTTGTGAGTCAAACTCCCTAGTGTAACTGACTCATCGGAGCATGGGGATTACGTGGTTTACGCAGCAGTTCTTAGAGGCTTTTTCGAACTGTCGCTTCCTCGCATTTTGCACAAAGTTGTTTTTGAGGTCGCTGAAAGAAGAAGAGAAGTGGAAAGGAGCAAAGTCAAACTGAGGTGATTCTTGAAGATCTCATCCAGCGATGGCGCAACCGAAGCAGACGAAGCGTCTAAAAACTGACGTGTCGGTCGCTGAATTACTTCTAGACAGGTCACTTCAACAGTAATTCTGAACGCACACAAGGACTGTCGCTTTATTTCTCTTCCCTTAAAAAAATCCTCTATACAACCTTTAAGGTATTTTTGAGCAACACCTGTAATTGAACAAGTAAAAGATCAGTTTTATTTTCGGAACATGAAAGGCAAAGCAATATCATCTCCATATTTTAGCTTTATTGCAGTATATACTTTAGTGTGTGTGAGTGAGAGATCTTTATTGATACTGAAGAAAATTGAAGTTTTGCTGCAGTGAACTGTTACAGGTTTCAAGCAACATTTCCACAGCGTGTCACAGTTGCTTTTGTGTCTCAGTGCAGTTTAACAGGAGGACTGGTCAGGGAGGGTGAGCAGGTCTGTGTCAGGGCAGTTTGAGGAGAGGAAGAGCCAAAGGTGTCCATCTGTGTCCTGCAGCATCACAGCAGTTGGTAATGAAATGGTTCATTCCCTCAAAATTTCCTCTGGAAGGTCTTCTGCAACATTTGCTGCCACATATGGTTTAAAAAAGCCTGTAGCATCTCAAGTGTCCAAGAGCTACGACCTCAGCTAGCCTCTTGCACAGTCTCCATGGCAAAAGTTAATTTCATTTGTGGTGTGAATATGCTGGAAAAATGTTAAATATATCTTGATATGCCTTACTTGCACCCAAATAGACCTATTGTATACTGAAATCTACATTAATTACCTGGTCCCCGAAGGGTTGACCAGGTTTTGTATTTAGCCTGTGTGTCTGTGTGTCTGTCCACCCTCGATAATTCCGGCATTTATGGACCGATTGTCACCAAATTTGATACGTGGGTCAAGGCCCCGTTGCCACATGGGTCAAATGAAAGGTCTTGGCAATTTCTGCAATTTCTGAACCATCTGCAGGCTAAAATATTCACCCAATCATCACACAAGTTGGCACACACATAGCTGGGGTACACTGGATGTTACAGGTTGAAACTGGCCTAGGTCACTGGAAGATCAAGGTAACCAAGGTCAAATATGCATTTTTGGTCATAACTCCGCAAAGGATCAAGCTAGAGGAACGGGAGTGGTCTCAAAATCTCTGAAAAATTATCTATTTATAATTCTATGCATTTGTATAGTAAAATAGTTTTCGAGATAATCACTAATTTTAACAGTTCCTTTCTCTTTTAGTGTGTGTCGTTAAAACTGGAACGAAGATAATTTCCATTGTTTCTTTTTCTGGTGATAAACAACACACTGATCTACAGTCACACAACTAACATATACAGAACTCATGAAAAATTAAATTTTGGTTACATGCTAGTAAACACAGACATTCTCATGTATGACCAATATCACACAAATATTCATGGGCACTGTTCAGCTACACACATTGCATTGTGGATATAACGATCATGTAATATGGGCTGGGCTCCTCATAAGCTGCTTCTGTGGTGAGGAACTGCTCTCACCAATGCCTCATGGGGGACCAGGTTGCTATCTCTGATTGCACTTGTTCCACAAATCATTAACCCACATATTTAATTAACAGTACTTACAGCATTCATGCGCTCCTACGCTGTTTAAATGTGCAATATTATGCTCTGCCTCTGCGCAGGTATGGACGATTGATGAGAAGAAGTGGCGCCCGGGCCGAGTGGAGCATTCTGTGGGCTGGCCCCTGAACAGACACACGTACGGGGGCTCCTTCCTCTACCACCTCAACGAAGGAGAGCCGCTGGTGGCCCTGGGCTTTGTGGTGAGTGAGTGAGTGAGTGAGTGAGTGAGTGAGTGGGTGAGTGGGTGAGTGGGTGAGTGGGTGAGTGGGTGAGTGGGTGAGGGAGGGAGTACAGTCTCAGGAATGAGGAGATAAAGATATTAGCAAAAATCAGAAAACCTGACTGAAGAGGATGCATGGTGTTTGGTTTGAAAACTTAAGCTCTTTGTCAACTTCCGCTGATAAGAAGATCACGCTGCACAAATGCCCAGTTACAGGTTTGCAGTGAGTCTGGACTGGACTAAATCAGATGTTTAAAGCGCCTATGACGGCTTGAAATACTAATTTTCCTAATTAAGTTAATCATATTTAAGATTTTACTAAAATAAATTGTAAAAAATTGCCCAGTATGTTAATTTCATCATGACATCATGCTAGGGAGTTATCTGTTAAGTGTTACCTTGCAACAGTTGTAATACAATGGGGCCAAAAGTCAGCTAATATCTACAGAGATTATAGTTTGACGATAAAAAAATATAAGAAAGGCACCTTTATTTTATTTAAATAATCATTTAAGTATTTGAAATTGTGCATAACTTTATAACTTTTGGACCTTTACAACTTTTTAGGTGTAGAACTCTCTACTTTGAGTAATTTTCAGCATATTTTTCAACTTTTCTTCACAAACTGCTCCTTGATTGGTGAAAAATATAATTTATATTTAAAACAGGTATAATCCCACCAAATTAAGTAAAATTAGAGAATTGTCCAAAACTGTCATACACACTTTAAAAGTATCATTTGGGGGAAAATCAGAGATGTGGATTTTTTCATAGACATGTGGGACCAGTTTGGATTCATTACAGTATCTCATTTAAAACTTACGACCAACTCATCCGGCAACCATGTTTTATACAAACTGAATCAGAGGTCTGTGTAGTCGCGTTTTGGGCAGTACCCTCTTGACCTGAATAAAATATTGGTTTCTGCTGAAGATTTAACGGTCCCATATTACACTGTTTTCTCATCTATGTTATAATGTTGTTTCCTCCTCAAAAACATATCTGGTTGTGTTCCACTGTGTTTTGAAACCCCACACACCTTCATTCGAATCATTAGGATTAGTTCAGCCCTGGAACTGCTAATCTCTACTGCATTAAAAGTAGATATAAAATAGAAAATTACGGCTTCATGACATCTCAAGGTGGAACAAAGGATTTTGAGCTTTGGAGCTGTAGACAGACTAATAATAAAGGGTTGCTGAAACATGTGTGAATGAAACAAAACATAACTCCAGGTCTGTTTTTTGAGGAGGTATAGTAATTACATTATCCCTTGCCTTAAAGCTCACAAGAGTCAATTTTGCATAATACAGGACCCAGGTGAAATGCTAAAAACTGCAAATATCTGCCCAATGTAACTGATTATACAGGTCTGTCTCAAACGGAAATTATCAAAATCAGCCCAGTATATCGGCAGAACTTGTAAGCCATGGAAAAACACACTACTCAGATCATGTTCTCACATGACATAGCCAGAGGAGAGTGTCAAAATTATTCACAGCACCGCAGGGAAACTTAGACTGTTATTTTACGTGTGCAGGGAAAGTTTAAATTAAAGGCGAGACGAAGTAAGACCTAGTTGAGTGGACATGTTGCATAAGTTGGACATAGTCATTCATTATTTTACCAATGCATTAAAGGTAAAACTATTTTTTATTCGGTGATTGCCAGCATAGGGCACAGGATTTTCCCATGGTGCATTGACAACTGAAGTGTTTCACATAAGGTTAATCCGTTAAAAGTGGAACTACATCTTAACGAAGTCAGTTTGAGTGCTGTATATCAGTTTCAAGGTATGGATAGTTCTCAGGAAATGTTGCTTGTTGCTTCTATATTGACCACCACATAAAAAGTAACTGCATTGTACAGTTTGAAATGGTGAGTTAGTGGAGCTGGTACCACTTACTAATAATTAAAGGGCCCATATTACACCATTTTCTGATCCATGTTATTATGTTTCCTCATCAAAAACGTACCTGGAGATGTGTTTTGTTTCATTTGCACATGTCATTTACACACAAACTCTATCCAAATGATTCTGTTGAAGGTATATAATTTCAACCCTGGAATCCCTGTAGTCTCGACTACACAAAAGGTAAACGGTAGCTGTTAACTTGAAAATCATTGCTTCATGGTATCACAAGGTTGAAGAGGGCATTTTGAGCTTGAGATGTAGACAGACTAATAATGCAGGAATTACTCAGACATGTGTGAATGATACAAAACACAACTCGGGGTATGTTTTTGAGGAGGTAACAACATTATAACACTGCTTAAAGAGTCTGTTTTCTGTCATATAGGACCATTTTAAAAACCTAATCAAGCCAATTAAATTCTAGTTTTGATCATCCCCTCCCCTTAGTGGTCAGCTTTTGTCATGCTCTGAATGAGTGACAAGGAGAATTATCCAATAACAATGAGATGTGAACTACTAGGAAGCATTGTATACCATTGTAATGCCATATAATGTTTATAATAATTGTGATCAAACTGAAGTAGGGACCAAGGATTTTGTTTTCATTGAGTTTTCAAGTAGAATATACTGTATTTTAGGGATGAAAAGTGACAAGTGTTACTTGGAAGGCTATAAACATATGCTCCCTCTGTGGTTTCTAAGAATACTTTAGTGATGGGCAGATGAGACCTCAAGGTGTGTGTAACACATTTCCAACACTGTGTTGGCGTGCTCTATAGTGGTGGTTTGAAAACATGAACCGCTTCCTATGCAGAAGCATTAACACAGAGCAGGGCTCGTTCATTTAGACACTTGAACACTCATTTGTCATAGATGCTCTGATATCTGAAAAATGAAAGAACTGACCAAGAAGGTGAAGCAGTCTGAAAGCAAATCACAGCCTATTTTACAATGAAATAGATAAATATGTGATATATGACAGAGTGAATGGTTGTGACAATTATAGTAAAACAATAGTGAACTACAGTAATATAATTCTTTTAGTAAATCTGTAGTGAGCTCACAGAGTACAGGCCTATCTTCTGTTTCTCTGTGGTTCTGTGGTGATGAACCGAGACACTGCGACAGATTTGAACACCACGCTCTTTGCTCTACACAAAATGCCTCAGTTCTCCCGACATGAGACACCCCAAATGACAGGACAGGAGATATATTGATCACATGACTTTTCTTTTAAAATAATTTGAAGTTGGTTTCTTTAAGTATAAACAACTTTTAATTTAAAACTTCTTCCAGTCATAAAGGTAAACAGTTTATGGTACATTTGCACATAAAAGTGGTCTTGTAGTTCAGTTGCTTAAAAAAAAAATTATAATAAATTAAATTAAGTTAAATTCCATTCTCAGGACAGAAATGAACCTTTCCTGAATAGCTTTACATGATCTTGAGCTGTATCCGAACAAGGATAAGAGCACATAGACTTATGTATGTAATGGACCAGTATGGAACATACCTGGACCCCTGAGGGATTACACAGCGTGGTATTTGTATTGGTTTTGAATATAGAATATTCCTTAGTACTGAAATCGCATTAGTATTGTGACAAAACTAATCAGTGTTTGCGCAACCAATCAGAGCAATGTGAAATACTTCATTTGGAAATATCCTTTTATTATTGAGACGAAATTTTGTCCAAAAATTCACCTGCTGCATATGAGTGATTCTTAATTGTCTTTTATTTAGTTTATATACAAGCTAAATTGTGACTGTGATGCTAAGAGGAACTTGTATAGCAGCCAGTTCTTTAAGGTCAGATAGTGGTAAAATAAAGATCAGATTATAGTCTAATAAAGCCTCAAACAGAGCAGTGCCCACAGTTGGCATTATACCTCAGAGGATGTCGATGACATCAGCTGCAAAGTATCAATAAAAAGAACTACAGAACTACAAATTTTGTGATCTGATAATTGCGCCATCTCAAATTGTGATTTTGATTTGATTGAGATGTGTTTTGATTCCATTGTGCATTGTGGATTTCAGGGTTAGACTTCATTCTCATTGTGTGTCCTTTTGCCACATAGGTCGGTCTTGACTATTCCAACCCGTACCTGAGCCCTTTCAGAGAGTTCCAGCGCTGGAAGCATCACCCCTTTGTGGCTCCCACACTGGAGGGAGGCCAACGCATCGCCTACGGAGCCCGTGCCCTCAACGAAGGAGGCTTCCAGGTATGGACTATAAACACTTTAAAATCAGAATGGTCAAAATTCTACAAGAGAGGAGACTGGAGGCAGAATGAAGCTGGACATAATACTTTTTCAACAATTAACTTACAATTATCTAAATGCTAATTGTGTCTTTTAAATGTCCTATATTACACAAAAATGACTCTTCTTTTAGTCACATTAGAATGTTTATAGCTCATCAGAAACATACCTAGAGTTTTGTTTCATTTACAAGTTTGAAGTAACACATTTATTATTAGTTTTCATCTTAACAGCTACCTTTAACCTTTTTGTTCAGTGGGCAATTGAATAAAGGTGTATGGAGTTTAAAAACACAGTGGTGCACTTTCTGTATTACCACATTTTTCCTTTAGAGTGAAGAACTCGGCTTAAATATGCAGGGTTTGTTTGTTATGTGTGAATGAAAGAAAAGAAAGAAAACACAACCAGGTCTGTTTTTGATGAGTAAACAACAGACAAATGATAGATGGACACTTTATTGAGAATGTAATTTAGTTCCCTGTTCCACTAGAAAAAGAATAATTAGTATGTAAGTACTGTATCCGATATATCTGCAAAAAACTAAACTTTTATGAAACTTTTATTTCTTGAAGTGACCAGAAAAAAATAAAAATCACCAAATGTTAAACACAATCATGTCTTTTTAAACTAGACTCTGTTATCACCAACTCCAAAACCCTTGATTTTCCGTATTTTGTGGTATTTTGATTCTGTGGCTAATCCCAATTCATTATCCCCCTCATTAAAATTGCACGTTCCATTTCACTTTTGCCGCCAGTTGCCTCCATTCTGAAATTGTTTTTGTTTTAGAAATGTTGGTGGTGAAATAAACTCTTCTAGACCCTTTCAAAGTAATTCTTATAAATAATTTGAGCTGACAGATGACTCAAGAGTTTGGGACATGAAAAAGTTCCAGATATGCACAAAGAAAGTGCCACTGTGCTAAGAAACTTTCAAACATGCCCCATATGCCCACACTGTGTATGCCTACATGCATTATTAATTAATGTTAGGAGCACTGTTCTAAATATAGAATTAATTTATTCTGTAATCAAAACAGTAGTTAATAATAATAATAATGACAACGACAGAAAGCAGCTTAATTAAAATGTGTTTATGTAATTCCACTTTCACAGGCCTTTGGGTCAGGCTTATATGAGGAAAGACACATTTCCATTTCCATGATAAATATCGGATAACTAGAAGAAGAATAAAATAATGAAATAATCAGATCTTTGTTCTGTATTTACATGCACAAAGAAATTTGGTCATGAAAACCACCTGTGATATTAAGGATGGCATAGCAATTATCAGCGATATTAGTGGAATTCCCCAGATATCTGTATTGGTCCAACTAAATTGAGTGTGAAAATCTGACTTTATATCCCTGATAAATACATTTTGTTGTTATTTTTACGAAAATGCTAGTTAATTTAACTTTGCGAAATAACTATAGACTTTAAAAGCTAAATTTCATATTGGCAAATACCAGTTATCAGCCACAACAGCAAGACAAATATCGGATATCAGTATCTTCTCGAAAAATCCATAATGGACCCTCCCCTATGTGAAACATGTCAGTTTATCAATGAATTTTTAGAGTAACAGTTGTATTTGGAAGACTGAGTTTAAAGTATCTTCATCACATCATTTCATATTTTATTTTGTCTTTGCTGCAGTTTTCCTTGTCATAACCTGCACAGTGAGTAACCAGAAAGAAATCCAGTTATGTAGATCTAAATGTTTACATCACATTTCAAAAATTTAACTATAGAAAACTGAAAATTATCAGATATGCAAAGGCAGTGTAAACTTTGTAGTGGGCATATTGTCATGTTATGTATAACTTAATATCCGGTTTTCTTTTTTGATGAAGGGACTATGTGAACATAACATTTTCAAAATTAGCGAGCAGAGGTTTATAGCAGTAAAGTGTCTTGTTTATGAACAATAATTATTGCAGCCTTATTACCGTAGTAAAAAAATAGTAGGCCTTTTGTATTAAAAAAAATTATACTTATTAGCCAAAATGGAAAATGTATCCAAATTATTATCAATTTTGAAACCTTGGATACCAAATCCAAGATACTGAAGATCTATTTTGGTCATCGTCAATGCACTTGTTAATGAAAGGGCTTTTATTCCTTAAGACTCTTATCTTCTATGGACATAGTTTAATGAGACTCTTTAAAAAGATTTTTTAGGAAAAAAAGAGTGAATCTAATCGGCCCTTTTTAAAAAAAAAAAAAAAAAATTTAATAATGTATTCAGAGTTTACTAACTTCTGAAAACATGATTATTTTTGCTAACTTGAATTATAATAAGTAAAGGTTTCAGAGGCTTCAATTTGGATTTTTTTCGTTGCTGTGGAATGCACCTAGATCACTGAGCGAGGGCATAGATGTGTTAATTTATTCAGGTAAGATTCAATAGTGCCTTTTGCAATCACATTCTCTAGGAGCATTGAGCTGCTGTGAAAACTAAATTTGTCATCTCCTGCAAATGTGGAATAAAGGAGGGTTGCAAGTTCGTAATAGAAACTGGCCCATTGACTTCCCAAAAGGCCAGAACTAATCATCCAGACTTTGCAAAGAACCAGTTCAAAAGTGCAGATCTGTGGGCACGGATGGGTGAGAGTGGCTGCAAATTAACATTTCTAAGAACTGAAGCTTCAAATGAGACACTACAGGATTATCCAAACATGCATGAATCAGTCAAAAATGAAACATAATGGCTGGAATTATTATGGACAAAAACAAAAGCTAGCTTTTAAGCAACAGGGTCAATATGCTAATATAAGCATGCAGTTATAATGAATGCAATTGGACAGCAGAAATGCTCAAATGAGTCTGGCAATGATTCATGGACACAGCACTGGATTTCTACATGTGATGTAACAATCCATGGAAAAGTTAAACAGATTTCTGAGGTTCAGAGCAAGATAACCTTATAAGTATAATTAATGAAACAAGTGTGTGGGACTATCCCCTGTGGAGGTGTTGCTGCACATGGAGCTGTGAGTCTGGAGTCCTGCTGTAGGGCCTTGCTGTAGGGAGCAGTATGGAGCCTCCAGGAGCAGAAGGGCGATCCTCTGGAGAGCCATAGCTCACTTCAGTGTGCAGACGCTCCTGACCCACAGAGGGAGGGGGAGGAGGACTTTAAATAAGCTATGGCGCACACTGACTGACAAAACTCCTTGAAATCACCTCATTGGTTGATGTGTTATTTGAGATGAAAAAAAATGACTTTGTGCTGGTTTTAGGTTTACATGAACCAGTAATTCCAGGGATGTTAACCGATGCCTCACCAAGACATGTGTCTTTAAGGGGCAGAGCAAATTTGATCACAAAATGTTGGAATTGTAGAATGTGATTTTACATAAAGCACTGTTCCCTCGCCCAAACAGCTCGTTTGGGGTAAGGGAAGTAACAAAAATAAAACCAAGATGTAAAATGGAATAAATTAAATAATGTTTAATTAACAGGAAGGTAAAAGGTAAATTAACAAGACTTAAAAATATACAGAAAATAACCTAGCTAAGAAACAAAACTACAGACAACGGGTTTTGTGCCACAAAAGGGGTCACGCAGGCTTACATAATAACGAGTGGTAAAATTAAGGGACCAAATTAAACCACATAAGCCCACAAACAGAATCGAGTGACCAAATCAAAAAAGGCACAAAACAGAACTAAACTAAACACACAAACAAACACTAAATGGCATACTAGCCACCAAGGCCAGCAGCCCCGAACAGGTGCTGGCAATCTCCTTAAATAGGGGGCGGTGGCTGCAGGTGAGGTGGGCGTAGATTTGCCCCACCAATCACGGACCAGGGCTCCTGCAGCAGGAATCAAGAGAACTCGGCAAAAATCACACAAACAAATTAGAACTAAGGCCTGTAACAGCACCAATAGTTTACGCCAAAAGACATTTTCCAGTCTATGGTACAGTGGTAAGATAGATGACACTTGTCTATGTGGAGGATTTTCAGTGGTTTAATAAAGTTCAAATAAAAATGATATATAATAAATAATAAATAAATATAAAAACAAATATCAGGGCTGGGTAATATTTTTGAAATAAATAAATAAATGTTTGAAACAATAATGTATGTGCTGCCAAGTTGCTTAAGATGTACTGTTTATTAGTGATGTGATGGAAATCAAATAATAAAAAAAAAAATGTTTTGTTATTACGCTCTAAAAATGATTAGTAGATTAGAAGGGTGGAGTATAAAGTGCACCCATAAAATTCTGAACATAATTAACTTTTTGTAATTGATTGAGGTGAATGCTGTCATCACTTAAATTAAACAGCCTCAGTAAATCTAAAGCAACAGTACTAACAGTACTCCAAGGTAAATCTAAAGTCACTTCTCTCCCTCCTCTCGTCCTTAGTCCATCCCAGAGCTGACGTTCCCCGGCGGGCTGCTGATCGGCTGCAGTCCCGGCTTCATGAATGTGCCCAAGATCAAAGGCACACACACAGCCATGAAGTCAGGCATGCTGGCTGCAGAGACCGTCTTCCCCAAGGTCACCGCGGAAGACCTCGACTCTGAGACCGCAGGTGGGGAATCAAACCCTTTAATGTGATACTAATCTTCTTTGCTACTTTACATTCCAACGTTTGATCAGATCTGCTGTGATGTAGGTAAGTTTGTGTGGTTGTTCTGGAGGCTTTATGGAGAGGTGGCAAAGTGGTTCGGTCTGTATAAAATGTCCATGTTTTCTCTGTCTGCAGAGGTTTGCACTGGTAATTTCATTTTCATTCAAACCTGTCTGGAGTTTCAACAGGTATTATAAACAGAGCAGACGTGTTTAAGATGTTGACTGACAATGCCCATTCAATATAAGACTACTTGGTTAGTTGTTGGTGGAAAACTTTTCTACACAAAATTGAAATCTAACACACTCACATATTTTGTAATGTTTTTCTAAAGTTTAATATTTCATATTCAATGACCCAAAACTTTTCTGGTCCGCAAACTGTGAATATGGGCAGGTTAAATGTCAGATAACAGCATGTGGCCGTCCGCAAAGGTCGGATGATAAGTTCTTTCATAAGTTTTGGAGTTATTAAAAAAAACAGCATAGCCTCTGAAAGTGCACCTATCTCAAAAGGTGTCCACCATTAAATTACCGTCATGAAAAAGCCTATTCGCCGAGTGGAACAGAGCGCTACAAGGAAATTAAATGGAATCCGGTCTCCACTCAAACATTATAAGCCTGAATCATAAGACTTTGTAACTCCATTTGGCTGTATTTGCCATGGGAGTACTGGACTGTGAAACCTGAATGTTGGGTGAAGACTAATACTGCTCAATACTTCTTTGTCTTTTGGGTCCTTTTAAGACTCATCATGACATTTATCTTACATTACCATTGTAACATGCTGTTAAAAGTAGATGTGAAGACCCTCAAATACCTTATCATCTTAACAATGATATGTGAAATACTACATGCGACAACATTAAAGCTGACATTTGTAATTAGATTGGCCGCTATGCCCCTGTTAGGTGCCATCTTTGTCTGATAGAGTGCCAGCCTTAGAATGATAGAAGAAGACCAGACAGCACAGGTGAGCCTGAGCAAAGGCCAGGTGAGGGGAGGGGGTATCTACAAGTAAAAAAAAAAAAATCAAATTAACTTACAGATGGTAGCTTTAAGGTTTTTAGCACACCCAAGGATACAGTTTTACCAGTTACTTTTAGTTTATTTTAGAATTTGCATATTTATCTTACATGAAGTTTCTGTAATGGGCCATAGAATTATTTTAGGAACAGTGTTTTGTTAATTGTGGTATTTGTTTATCTGATATCGGCAGATATTCAAAACTCAAGTATCGATATTAGCAGAGGTGGGCAACTGTAGCCCAACATTGTTCCCAAGTAAGAGTAACATTACTTCAAAAGAAAAAGTAAATAAGCTTTTTCCTCTGCTGACATCGCTAAGTAAATATATACTGTATATATACTGTAAGTAAAAGTACTACCTGTGCATTATTTAAGTACACATTAAATAAAAAAATTGTACTTTGGATAGACACACGAGAAAAAAAGGAAATCATATCTGAATGACGTCAAATGTTCAAATTATTTCATATTGTCAACATAAAACTTTTGTCATTTGTTACTTATTCACAAAATAAATGAACAAAAGAGTAAACCAAAACTGAAAATACTACTAATAATAGTTTTTGCCAATGAAAATACTGTATACGCTAAGTGACATCTCTTAGCGGTTCGTTGAAGTAAAGCGCTTTGAGAGCCTTGAAGGTGGAAAAGCGCTGTTTAAAAATATGACCATCTGATTATTGTCAGAATTTAAAATATATAGATTTTTATTTTTTTTACATTTATTCGTTACTATAGCCCTGTCAAAATAACAAATTTCAAGAGCAACATATTGCTGATAAAATTATAGACGATAAACTACAATATTGAAAAAATGCCACTGACACAATAACCCTGAAGCAGTATTATACCCAAAAAACTATTCTGATTTTACAATAAGTTAAAAATCATGAGCTGCAATAAATAAGTGAAATAAGTGAGCCAAATAAAACATCAATTAATTTGTATCTATAATGAGTTAAACATAGCTCAGATCTTATTGTAGTACAGAAAAATCACAAAAAGCTCTTTAATAATGGTACAAACTAAAATTATTATTCAGTCTTTTAATGTATTGAACTAAAGTGGATATAGTTATGAAGGTCTAGAAAAGTAAAATAATATTCTATGGCATTTTTATTTTCCATTTTTTGTTTTTGTGGTCCCAGGTCTGCATGTGCCAGAGTACAGCGAGGCGTTGAAGAAGTCGTCCATTTGGCAGGAGCTGTACTCTGTGAGAAACATCCGACCGTCCTTCCATAACTACTTTGGCCTGTACGGAGGGATGGTCTACACCGGCCTTTTCTACTGGATCTTGAGAGGCAAGGAACCATGGACACTGAAGCACAGTGGTGAGTCCTCGGCGGGGTGTAGATAATGCTGTTTTACATAAGTGGTCCATCAAAGTATAATGGCAATTTTTTACAGTTAAAGGGCTCATATTATGCTATTTTCTGATCTATGTTATAATGTTGTTTCCTTATCACCAACATACCAGGAGTTGTGTTTTGTTTCATTCACATGTTTAACACAAGCTTTTCTCTCAAACTGAAAGCACTCTGGTTTCACTTTGCTCCACTGTGTGTTTAAACTCCATACAATGTACTGGAATTGCCAATCTCTACTGAATTACCATAATTTCCGGACTGTTGAGTGCACCTGAAAATAATACGCAGGTGTCCACGTCTTCATGTTTGAGCCATCTGCTTTTATTGTCTCTGAAAGCTTTTGTCGTCTTCGTCACGCTGCCATCGCCAACGTCTCACCATTGACTCGTTCATGCCAAGCTCACCTGCAGCAGCTCTATTTTATTCTTCGACAGCCACATCATCAACTGCCATTAACTTAAAAGCTGCATCATCTGCATTTCTTTGTGTGTTTTCCATGTGTGTATGAAGCACAAAATAACTGTTCAAAACACAATGAAACGAACATCTTCCTCTGCGCATCATCTCTTCCACGTCTCGCTCTAGCAGAAAGAGCCGCTGTCCTGTCTGTATCATGTCAGTGTCTGGTAGGATTTCAGCAGATTTCAGGTTCTCAAGGGGGCGGGGCTAGTTTAATCGATCAGGTAAGAGTGGATGTTCGGCTGCTGAAGTTTGAGACATTTCTTCTCATCATTTACCCACTCACCTCTATTTAAAGGTTGTATAGAGGATTTTCCAAGGAACGAGAAATCCAGCAACTGTTTGTCCTTTTTCAAATGTTGCGCATGCGTGAAACCACCCCCCCTCCCCTACAGCTCCCTACGTAGAAACGCCTCCTCCCGCCTCCTCACTACGCCAGAAACAGGTTTGTTTACAGCCGGTGCGCTGCACATGACTTGTAAACAACTAACTACAGTGTTGGTTAGGCAAGGCGGAGAAGTGAGGAGCGGGGGGAGCGGGTGTGCAGACATTTCATTCGCGGACGAGAAGTGAGGAGGAGCAGGGAGAAGAGCGGAGCAGGGAGAGAGGAGAGGAAAGGAGAGAGGAGAGGGGAGCGGTGCGCGGAGATTCCGTGCCCGGAGAAGTGAGGAGAAGGGGGAAGAGCGGAACGGGCAGCGGGGACAGGAGCAGGAAAGGGGTGCAGAGAAGGTTGCGCGGAGATTCTGTGTGAATGAACTAGCTACAACACGCAGCAGCAAGCGGACTCTTTCTTTGCCTTGAAAATTACGTTTTCAGACATAGGATATCGCTTTCGTGTCCTGAAAAACGTTTGTCTAGCTCTTGGAAATAAAGTACGTTTTCATAATAAGCAGAAGTGACCTGTCCAGGAGTAATTTGGCGACCAGTGCGTCAGTCTTTAGACCCTGCGTCTGCTTCAGTCGCGCCATCGCTGGAATGAATCTTCAAGAATCACCTTAGTTTGGCTTCGCTGCTTTTCCCCTTCCCTCTTCTTCTTTCAGCGACCTCAAAAACTGGACTTTCTTTTGCGGCTAACTGCTCCTGGATTCTTTGTCTGCCATTGCAACAAACTTTGTGCTAACTGCGAGGAAGATATAGGTCAAAAAAAGCCGCTAAGAACTGTTGCGCTGGTGGAGTAAACAGCGTCTGTGCAGCTTGCGTCTGTGGACTGCGTGACAGGCGTACGCAAACCACGTACCGGTGGCGCGCAGGCAAGTCAGTTACGCTATAAACGTAGGGAGATTGATTGACAGCCTGTCAGCTAACAGATAACGAGGCAGTGTCGTTATCTATTGGCAAATGTTTAGCCCCACCACGTCCAGAGTTGATGAATTTTTATTCTCTTTTTTTTGGTCATCATAATTACAAGGCTACTGCACCTCTATAATGACTATGACATTGACAACTTGAAACAAAACAAAAATCCTCCATACAACCTTTAACGCATACGGGTAAGACGTATCACACTCACAAATTCTAATTTAGCATCATAACTTATTTTATTACACGGCAATAAACGGTTTTGGTGTGCTTACAACAGCCCTAGCTAGCATTGCAACTTCATGTTAACTGCACAGACACTGTCTGCACTCAGGCCGAGCACGCATAATCCGTCCATATATAGTTGTATTAGCCGCAGGGTTCGGTGAGAAAATGTAGCGGCTTATAGTCCGGAAATGACAGTAAATGCACAGTAAAAGGTAGCTGTTAACTTGAAAAATAAAGCTTCATGAACATCACAAGGTGGAACAGAGCATTTTGAGCTTTGGAGAGGTGGTCAGAAAAATTAAAAACAGTTACTCAGACTTGTGTGAATGGAACAAATCACAACTCCAGGTCTGTTTTTTGCCATTATAACATGGCAAAAAGCTTACGAGAATCAATTTAGTGTAATTTAGGACCTTTTAAGTCTTACACTGAAGAATGAGGAGAATATTTTTTTTACTATTACTTGACTAATTTCTTGGATCATTACTTTGTACTTCTACTTGTGACTTCAAAATAACATTACTCATCACTCATCTTATTTGTGTATAATTTTTGGCTACTCTATTCACCTCTCCCCCTACTCTCATTTTACCAGTCCAGCTATTCCATTTACCATCACATCCACAGGTCACTTATCAATCTGGGAAAAAAATCAATCATTTGCTCAGCTCCTCTCCTCTCCGTCTCTCTCTGCACCAGGCCTCGACGCCCACCAGCTCAAACCAGCCAAGGAGTGCACTCCAATCGAGTACCCGAAACCAGACGGCAAGATCAGCTTCGACCTCCTCTCCTCCGTGGCTCTGAGCGGAACCAACCACGAGGGAGACCAGCCTGCCCACCTCACCCTGCGTGACGACTCCGTGCCGGTCAACAGGAACCTTGCTGTGTTCGACGGGCCCGAGCAGCGCTTTTGCCCCGCGGGTAACTATGGCTGACATACGGGCTCGCTTAAACGAATCTCACGGCGCAGAGATAAGGGTTAATAACACGCTGTAGAGAGATAGGTTTTCCATTTGCCAGCGTGGAGACTCACACCTCAGAGGATTTCAGTGGAGTTTAAGGGACGGTTGAGTGCACTGGGTTTTGCTAATTTATTTGCTGGAACAGATTCTTGTCAGTTTGGAATGGATTACTGTGGAAATATGGCACAAAATCGGTTCTGGCTAAAATTACACTCTTGTATTGAGAAGGGACAAATGCAGCTGTAATATCGCATGAGCCAGTGGTTCTCAAACATGGTCCAGGTACACATAAATGATGGAAATGGGGAAAATTATCATCTTGTACTGGAGGCTCTCACTGCCAGCGCAGAAATACAGTTTGCCTAACATGAGTTACTTACTTATACATGGTTCTTTAAAGCCACAGTATGTAACTTTATAGGCGAGGAGGAAGACCTACCTCTGTGAAGTTGGTCCCCCATCAAACGCAAACCTACACAAAAACTTTGTCAATTGTTTGTGCTCCATTTGTGCTGTAAAAAGTTTGGTTTGTGCTGCTTTAGTTTTTCAGATTAATGATACTTTTAGAGGTCAAATCGGGTTCAGCTAGGCCCCCAGGAAGCTTAAAAATGCTCTAAAACGGCCCAGAATTGTGTCCTTCGTTTGTGCTGTTTTGTGCTGCAAAAAGTTTCGTTGTGCTATTTTAGTTCTCAAGATATTAGCAGTTTTATTTTTAGCTGATGACGTCATCCAACCCCTCAAAATGTTAAAGAGCCTCAAAATAGGCAGAAAGTGATAGGAAACGTTTGTATTTCGTTTATGCTGTTTTGTGCGGTGACAATTTTCATGTGTGCTAAGTATATTTCTAAAATTATTAATTATTATTTTTGCAGAAATGATATGACGACTTTTCTGCTTTAGCAAAACTCCACAAAACTAGTGAGGATAAATGATCTCAGGCTGTGGAAAAGTGTGAATCAGTTAGTAACTTGTTTTTGATTCATATTTTATATAATAATAGACATTTCCACAGCCTGAGATCATTTATCACTAGTTTGCGGAATTTTACATAGTTTTTGTGTATGTTTGTGTTGCACTGGAAGGCCTCCACCTGTTTGTTTCTATAATTTTCCACAGTATGGCACAAAAAGTATCCAGGTAAAATGTTTTGAAGTATGGTTTTAACTTTCTATATAATCATGCAGGTTACAAAAAGTTACATACTGTACCTTTAATAAAATATACTAACTACTAGATATGATACAATAGATGCAGCATGATTAGACATTTTCTTCAAGTGCATTATAGTAATGGGTATACAAGCATAAAAAATTTAGAACCACTGCCATTGGCCTAATATACTGGTCTATCATTATGAAAGTTAATGTTTTGGAAAGGGCAAATGAAGCAATGACGAGGCATCTCTATTTAAGTGTATAATTAGGTTCATTAGTATGCAAGAAATCAACATTAGACATTCACAATAAGCGCTTTACAAACATGTCAGACTGTATTATAATTAAATTGAAAAGGCTTAGGAATCGCTATGGGAATTGTGATTGACATAAACATGATGAAAAAAACACCTGGGAGGTAGGAAATCACTTCCCTTTATGAACACTGAAGTATCCTATGAGAAAGTATACTCTTAATCCAATAACAACGTAATCTTTAACGTTTAAATCAAAATGTATCTAGTCTGCTCTCAAAATTGTGCTAATAAGTCTAAAATGATTGATGTGATAAGATTCGCCGGCCTTGTCAACATGGACGTTATCTCTGTGTATTCTAAGTGTGTGTGCAGCCTATCTATGCCAATTTCCCATTAATTTCACAACATGGTCCATCAATCATATGCTGTGTTGTCTCTGTACAATATACATATAAATTAGTTGCATGTGCAGTAGAACTCTAAGGTAAAGTTACTGTTTTTGAAAGAAATATCCAAACTAAGGATCCACAAATATAGATTGACCAGATGTCCTTTTTCTGTATTTTTCAGACTATCAGTCGCACTTTTTTTCATGGTTTGGATGGTCCTGTGACTTATATTCCGGTGTAACTTGTATATTAAAATTTTCAGACTGACAGCCGCGAGAGGGCGCTCTAGGCTCGTGTGTCAGTATCTACTACTCCTATTATTCCTGTACCACTGTCACTTCGCACTCTACTGCGCATGCCTCCTGTAGAAATAGCTGCTGTCTCGCTGCAAGTAGTGAAATATTCAGCCGAAAACGGTAATTGAGCAGCAGAAAGAAAGTTTAGAGTGAGTGAGAAACTTGTGAGGGACTGGCTGAAAGCAGGGATGGAGAACACAGCTTCACGGCAACCAGGAGTGTGCACCATGTAACTATCCTGGAAGTCACTGGATGAATTGACAAAGCCTGAACTTCAATGACAACCGAAACCATCCTGTCGAGATTCTGAAAGGCCGGAATAATTCTAACTGGAACTGATGCTGAGTCTGACGACAGTTATGCAGAAGAGGAAGCGGCGCGGTGTTTACATCATGGATCTATGGTTTATCTCCAGAGGTCGCGCAGAAGTGACACCAAGGATGAAGAATTCAATGGATTTAGTGATTTGGAGTGAGATCGTGAGTTTGGTAAACTTATGTTTTGTTTATGCTATAATTATCTGAATAACTGTTAATATGTTACGGTAACATATTAACGCCTATTCAGTCTGTATTCTATTCTATTCTATTCTATTCTATTGTTATTAATATAACTTGCCTTTCAAGATGAAATGTCAGGTCTTGGTCTCTGATTTTACAAAATACATTTCCCCAAAAAGTGTGACTTATATGTTTTTTTTCTTCTTAATTGCGCATTGTTTGGCTGGTGCAATTTATACTCCGGAGCGACTTATAGTCCGGAAAATACAATACCCGGGACAGCCCCAGGTTTGTGCCCTGTCTCCTCTGTCCCATCAGATTTAGGGCCTGTTTACACGAGAACTCTTACAGGTAAAAACGACAAAATATTTTATCAGATGTGCCTTTCATTTAGGCATGGACAGCGTTTTTGGGGCTTAAAATTGCAAAAATCTAAAACCATCCTCCAGAGTGGAAAAGCTGAATATGCTCCACCGTCCACACTGCCCAAGACGCAAAACTCTGGTCAGATCTGCTCACGTCGTGTACGCGTTTACGTCACACACTTCACCACCCAGTGTCACCACCTAACTGCCTGGCATGCATACTCAGTCAAATTCCACACACTTTTGCGTCACTGTACTCATGCAGATTTCCTCCCAAAAACGCTTGTGAAAACGCAGAGAAAAAACATGAAGATGCAACGCCACTTTTGCATAGTGTTCAGACCGTCATCATATAAACATAGCCTTTTTCAAAACCAGTAATTTGTCCCAGTTTTATACAAGAAATGTCCCAGGTGTCCCTATTTTTGACCAATTTGTCTAAATCTAAAACTAAACCAGGATTACATTCAGTTTAAACCAGGTCTATAACAGGACTATCACAATTTTTTGACTAATCAACTGTAAAGAGCATAAATTGTCATTTGTTTAGCCAAAATACAGAAAAGCGTTCTTGCAAATTACCATAAAGGGAAAAAAATGCAGCAGAAGTCTTTCAGATTATGATTGACACAAGAATGCACAATGTTACACTCTCTTTTCACAATTTTATTTATACCAACCATCCCAACCTGGGTGTGTTCCAGTTTAGAATTTTCTAAATCTGGTCACCCTACACAAATGTCTTATTTTGAAGGCCTACAAGGGGGTCCAGTGACAAGCAGTTATGTTTTATTGCTGTGAAGTTGGAGGAAATTGTGGTTCATCCAGGTTTTAATGTCAGATAGGCAGTTTGTGATGGTGGGGAGATGGATTTGGTGGAGATGTAAACCTGAGTGTTATCAGCGCAACAGTGGAAATGGAGTCCATGGTGGCGGATGGTGTGGCCGAGGGGAAGCAGTGAGATTTGGAGTTATTTATAGAGACGTAGTGGTGACGGTCAGAGAGGCAGGAGGAGAACCAGGACAGTGCAGTGCCGGAGATGCCAGTGCACTGTAGACGGTGAAGGAGGATGGTGAAGTCAAGGTGAAGTCAAGGAGAAGGAGAATGGAGAGGGAACCAGAGTCTGCAGCGAGGAGGAGGATTGTTGTTGACTTTTAGGAGGAGCTGTTTCAGTACTGCGACTTTGTAATTACTGGGCCCATCTAAGTGCCGTACTTTTTGGACTATAAGCCGCTCTGCAGTATAAGTCACATCAGCCAAAAAATTTGTAATGAAGAAAAAAACATATGTAATTCGCACTTTTTTGAGGAAATTTATTTTATAAAATCAGAGACCAGGAACCGACATTTCATCTTGAAAGGCAAGTTATAGTGATAACAATAGAACAGAGAACAGGCTGAATAGGCGTCTGGTATGTTAACGTAATATATTAAGTTTTTCAGATAACTAGAGCATAAACAACAGAATACAGCAAGTTCATCTCTCTCCATCTCACTCCAAATCACTAAATCCATTGAATTCTTCATCCTCTCCGTGACCTCTGGAGGTAAACAGAGCACCATTTCCTCTTCTTCGTAGCTGTTGTCAGACACAGCATCAGTTACAGTTAGAATTATTCCGGCCTTTCTGAATCCTGACAGGATGGTGTCGGTGTCACTGAAGTCTAGGGACTTCCAGGAAAGTTGCATGGTGCACCCGCCCAGTTACCCTGAAGCTGTGTTCGCTATTCCCGCTTTCCACCCGTCCCTTACAAGTTTCTTACTTACTCCAAACTTTCTTTCTGCTGCTCGATTACCGTTTTCAGCTGCATATTTCAGTTTGCAGCAGGACATTGGCTTTTTCTGCAGGAGACATGCAGAAAACTGACATACAAGCCTAGAGCGCCCTCTCATGGCTGTCAGTCTGAAAATTTTAATATGTAAGCCGTACCAGAGTATAAATCGCAGGGCCACCCAAACCATGAAAAAAATTTGATTTATAGTCTGAAAAACACAGTAATTACTGAGCTATTACCCATAAATCAGTGTAATGTCATTTGACCCCCAACTTCATTGTTTTAGCGTTGTATTCTACCTTTTACAGTGCCATTTCCACTTTGATACTCACACTACACACTAACACTTCACTTTCTGTCCCAGGTGTGTACGAGTACGTCCCCCTGGATACCGGAGATGGCATGCGGTTACAGATCAACGCTCAGAACTGTGTCCACTGTAAGACGTGCGATATCAAGGACCCCAGCCAGAACATTAACTGGGTGGTGCCTGAAGGGGGCGGTGGACCTGCATACAACGGGATGTAGATTTTTTTTTTTTTGTATTCTGATTGTAAATGTGTTAGAGGATGAAATATTTGCCAGTGTATGAACTATGTGCCTGGATGCTCAAATTCAAGACAAATACTGAAATCTTAACTTATGGAGATGGCTTTTCTTCCTTATGCAGTTTTGACGTGGCTGCCTTATTTCATTGGAATGCTGTGAAAATGGAAACATGGAGTCTGTGTTGGACAAACATGACCAAGGAGATGTCCATTTCATATCACATTTATTGCAGACGTGGTTTAACAATGTTGTCAGTGTTACTGTACAATACATTTTATTTCTTAGTTTAATTTAGTGTGTTCCCAATAATATATTTTATGCGGTTCTACATCTAACCAGTCTTTGAAGGAGAAACGACGCACAATATAGAGCAATTTGCATTTAGACTTACCAGCTTAGAGTATCAGATAAAATGGGGTAAAGCATTACTACGAAAAAAGATCTAAAGTTCCAATTCTCTCAGTAAAGATGCACTGCAAGTCGCCCGTGTCTCTTCATGGAGATGTTATTGCTCTGCTTGGAATGTTCCACAGTATGGCATTAAACGTATCCATCTCCCTGGAGGCATGCAAGTGGTGCCATTAGGCCAGGTTACAGGTCAGATCTGTGGAGAGGCAACCCTGCTCACAGTAAGAATGTATGTTTTTAATCTTTTTGAGCAATAAAAACACCTGTAATAATAAAATGTTGTATATTCGACAGTATGGCATTAACATATCTCTAAGACTAAGCAATAACGTCTCCATGGATATGAAGCAGCGCACACTCATCTAAGAAGTTACAGTGCATCTTTAAACTTGAGTTTTAAGTAGTCAGAGGTCCAAATCTTGTTTTATCCTGGAACTACGCTAGATTAAATATCTCATTATCAGTGAAGGAAACTGCATTGTACGTGTGAATGAATGAACTGTGTAAAGACAAATAAAATGATTTTTAGAGAAACTGTATCAAAACATGATGACATTTGGTGAACAGTTCTTACAGTATACTTCAGTGCATACAGTGACTTCTCACAGATTCCAAACCCATTTAAATCACGCAAACATTTTGGCAAACATCTTTTTCTCTTTCTCCTTCTCCTCCTGGATCTTGAGGTGGACTTTCTTCATTTCGCCTATGATTGCTGTCAACAGAAAACGGATTCATTTAGTTTTACCTGTAGTGTATCGCTTTATTTATTTTTTTGGTGATTTTGCTCTTTCAAAATATAAGCTTTAATGTGGAAAAAAGATTGTCTGGTCTGCATCGAAACATGTTATATTATTTAATTTAAACAACTTGCAGGCATAGATTTAGACAGTTACCTCAATCAGTTTTTCTCTCATAGGGATTAGGATTCTGCTTTAAATCTCCAGCAGAGGCCGATATTTTTGGTTGACCAGCCAGCTGCCTCCATATGCATCAAGTTTTGAGCTTAAGTCCAGAGAGGGTACTGCAAAAATGTGTTTACACCTTGTCTTGTCCAATTTGTTGTAAAACAAGGTTATTGATGAGTTTGAATTTGGCTCAAATTAATTAATTTAGGTACATTTTGGGGTAAAATTTTGAAAACCTTTACAATGATCTTGAGCTGTATCAGAACAAGTATAACAGACTAGTATACACCCATGGACCACTGTGGGACAAACCTGGATGACCGAGGGATTACACAGATATAACACCACCACATGGTGATGAAGAAACATTATTTAATGTTGAAAATTGTTGCTTGACTTTTATATGAACTTTTAGGGAGTCTACTACCACCTGAAAACCAGCCTTTGGGCTAAATCGGGTACATTTACATTGCTGTTTATTAATGTACACTGTCCCACTGAAAGATAAATAAATAAAATAAAATCATTCTATTGTCTAAGTAAGTGTTTTTATGGTCATTGTGGTACTGGATTATGTACTGTGTAACACCTCTAGTCCTTATTATCGAAATCAAGTTTGAAATTTGAGTAATCCTTATTTCTATTAGTGTTGTCACGATACTCTAACTGCCCAATATTGTACATAACACGATTTTGACGTATTAAATAATGAGAAATTATTTTTTGAGAATCTTAAGTTTTAACTCTTTAAAAAAAGGTCAGGCCAGATTTAAAATTGTTGCTTCAGTTCGTTCTGTCCATTTTCAGTGTAACACCCTTAGTTTTAATATGTATGTCTCTTCCCACGTGTCACTTGTTATCACGCTCACTTGGCTGTGTCTATCTCGCCAAGACAGGCTACAGAAAGTATATGTGGACTGGAGTGGACCGATAGGGCTTATCTTCTGGCTGGCAGCAAATAACCACAGGATTAAAATATGTCAGGGTCAGGAAGCCGGGAAAGATTTACACAAAAAAAAAAAAAAAAATGACCAAGAACACATGTCAAATCTCAGCGGGTTCAAATTGGAATGATGGTGTCATGGCAAAATAGTGGACAGAGTTGAAAAAGTTGTCACTTCCTGATTGTGACGTATTCCAGATCTAATGATGGTACTACTCAATCAGCTTTTTGGAAAACGCTTTTACTACTTGAGTAATATTTGTCAGTGTAACAGTACAATTAAGTAAACTTTTTGGTTACTCTTACCCTTTCTGTTACACCTTGAGTGACTTAAAGCATAAAAAAGTTTTCATATTTCTGTTTTTTAACCTTTCTTGCTTTGATTTTTTGATCTAAATAGTTGATTCTGACATGCTCATAATTTAAAAAGCTACAAAATAAATTTTTAATAGCAATTTGGTAATTATAGAGCTACATCTTTAAGTGGTAGATTGTTTTTCATAACAGGTTCAGGGCTGAGCAGATGTTATTTTGAAGATAATCATTTTGAAAATCAGATGTAATCACTTATAGTAAAAATAGTTCATAAAAATCTGTTGACTGGGCAATAGGCAATACCCAAAATTTTGTGTCTCAAGTCAGGATTTTTCAAGATTCCAAGACATCATGCACTTACCACAACTTGCACTACCAGTCAAAGGTTTAGACATCCTTTCTCATTTATTGTTTATTTATTTATTTTCTTTTTAAATGCTTACGAAAGATATCAAATATATGACGCAAGATCTATGGAATTATAAAGCAAAGGAAATTTTTTTTTTTTTTTTTTAATAAACTGTATATTCAAATCCTCAAAGTAGCCACCTTTTGTTACCAGTTTGTTGAAGTCTCCTGGAATGGTTTTCACTTGACAGCTTTGCCTTGTCTGAATCAAAAGCAGTGGCCAAAGCAAAAGGTGTCCAAACTTTTGACTGGTAGTGTAAGTGTAGCGACAATACAGCTCCTAAAGTCTCCCACCAGTCTCCGCATACACAGTACCAGAGGTGGGACCAAGTCGTTGTTTTGCAAGTCTCAAGTAAGTCTGAAATCTTTTACCTCAAGTCCAAGTCAAGTCTCGAGTCACTGACCCATAAGTCCAAGTCATTTCAAGTCTTTAAACCAAAGTACCAAATATAGCTTAGATTTTAGTGATTTATATGACTTTTAACCTAAATTGTACTTAAAAATGGTATGTTATATTTATATAAGAGTTGTAGAAATACAACTTTTTCCTTTTTAAATGTGTTGACAAGTTTTTAGTGCAAATCGTTATGGTCAGTTTAGAAAGAATTAAGATTTAAAAATGCTGTTATTTTGTTGTGTAGTCTGCACAGAAATGGAAGGATCATATTCTTTGTAGTTCCCTCTGTTTTACTGTGTTGTACTGTATATTACTGCAGTACATTTGAAGATACCACATCACAGTACTTCAGTTACATCCAAAGTAACAAACAGAAGTGGGAGGGACATGTTCCACTTTGTTCCTGTAAAATTCAGCATCACATTTATCAACTGTAAAGACTAAAGCATTTTCTAAAAATATATATATTTTTAGGAGAAGCATCAAGTCTTCTCAAGTCACAGGGCTCAAGTCCAAGTCAAGTCCACACCTCTGCACAATATACTGCCCTATAATCTAAAAGTGAAGACTTCTACAGGCCTCAAGAGGAAGCATTTGGTAAACAATTCATAATCCAGCACATTATTTCAATTGATATTTTCTGCGACGTGTTTAAATCCTTCTATTCGGCCTTTTAACAATTGAAAATTCAACACAATGAAGGGATTTTTTTCTGTGACCATGTTAGTATTGTCAGTGTAACAGTCTCACCTTTGTCATCTGGTGTGATTTCCTGAGCCTTCTTCAGGTCCTCCTGTTAAAGCATTAGCATAGATATTGGTAAATTATGGAAATGCAAGATCAAAATGAGCTACAAGGTCCCTTCTATTAAAGCTGGGCTGCCTGACTTATTTATAAATGAGTACATGTTGTGGTTTCACCCCAAAGAGTGTATCGTACAAGACAAAATGAGAGCACGACCCACCGTCTGCAGTTAATCATAAAGCAGAGCTGACTGATATGGCTGTTAAAGGGCCTATATACAAGTAACCATTTTCAGATTTCTCGGTTTTTGTATTCACACATGTACAACACACATGTACAACACACATGTACAACACACATGTACAACACACAGTCTCTCCATAGTTTGGGCTTTTCTCTCAGACAGTAAACACCACATTCCACTTTGTGATGACAGGTGGTAATACAGGAAGTGCTCCACTATTTTTAAACTTCATACACCTTCACTAGAATCATTTGGGTAATTCAGCCGTGGAAACTCTACTAAACAAAGGGTGATAGGTAGCTTTTGACTTGAAAACTACCACTACATGGCATCGCAAGTTGGAACAGAGCATTCTGAGCTTTGGAGATGTAGACGGACTAATAAAGCAAGATTGCTCAAACGTAAGAATCAAACAAAACACAACTCTAGGTATGTTTTGGAGCAGGTAACAGCATTATTAAACAGCTTAAAGCTCACAAGGATGCATTTTGTCTAATATAGGACATTTAAGTAGCAAGTTACATTCTAGAATAATTAAAACTTTATTATAACTTTTCTGTTAGAGAGTTGACCATGTTGGCTTGTTGTCTTCATGGAGATGCTTTTTATATTCCATAGTATAGCACAAAATATATCAATTTTCCTTAGAATCTTAATGACCAAGAATGCATGTTTTTCTTACTAATATGTTTAAGTCCATACTGATTAATAGGGCTGGGCATCATTAAGAAGTTACCGATACGATACATAGGCCACGATATGATACATATTTTGATACAGTGAGCTTTCGATTCGATATAATATATTTCAAATCGATTTGATACGGTTCAGTGAAAATAAACGTTAAATGATGGCTGTGACACTAAAAGTCTTTGTTAAACCACTTCTTGTGCAAAGTGAATAGGAAACGCAAACATTTTAATCATCAAAACAGTGAAAATATCAAATGTGTCGCATAAACAAGTTACCTTCCTCTAAACAAGCAACAAAACTGTAGCACTGTAACAAAATAATTTAGTAAAATACACCAAAAAAAATAACCTTGGTGATATATCGTGACGGCAGCTCACGATATCGATACTGTATCATCACATTAAACAATACGATATGTCGATAATTCAATACTTTTGCACAGCCCTACTGATTAATATACTTTTTTTAGAGTTATAAACTAGATGGCCCATGGTCAGAAAGAAATTTGATTATTTGCCTTTTTACATTATCCTCCGATTTAGTCTGGATTTTGCAGTTTACAGTAATCTTAAAGGTCCAGAAATCAGATTATACTCAGATTTTGGTGTGTATTTGAACAAGGCTACAGAATTTATGCCTTACCATAGCTTTACTGAAGTCCTTTAGCCCTGCATGCGCCTGTGCTCTCCTGAAAAGTGCTTTTGTATTCTTCTTGTCCAACTCCAGAGCCTGGGACACAACAGGACAATATGGTTTCAAAACATGTAAATTTTAATGGATGTATTTAAAGAGTTGTGTTGCTGTGGTACCTCGGTGCAGCTGTCCAGGGCCTCCTGCCACAGCTGCAGTTTGAGTTTACAGGCCGCTGTGTTGAGAAAACAGCTCAGGGCCACGGGTTCTAGCTTCTTCTGGATCTCCTCATCAAACTCGTCTCCTCCAAACTCCAGGTATCTGCGCAAAGAGGTTATGATATTTTAATGATATAAAATTAAACATTTGCACAGTGTCGCGATCTGGACCATAACATGTGGAAAATGGTCAGATTTTTATATAGACATTTCCATCTTCAAGGAACTGAAAGCACTTTAAAATCACCCTTTCACACACACGCTCACACACCAGAGCACACAGACACTGGGGGTCAGGTGAGTGAAGTGTTTCGGCCAAGGACACAACAACAACATTCATGTGTGGGAGCTGGAATCAGGTCTGTTGATCCCAATGAAAAAGAGCAGGATTTGAAACACCAACAGCCAGATCAGTGGACAAACATTCCAACTGAGCTACTACTACCCTAGCCATTTTATCTCTTAAGAAAGCATATTATTAAGTCGAAATGAGACAAGTAGGGAGCGACCGATATGGGCACTTAGAGATACATCAGCTTTCGGGTAGTCTATGTGGGCATGTTATATCATTATAAATCTTAGACTCTCTATATTGTGTCCATTTAATTCAATTTACAGATAGATAAATGTCCTAATATGTGGCGCCGCATCAGCATTTATCAGAGGAGTAATTTGTCTGTGTGTGTGACGGCGTACTGCCCCTGAATGCACCCCAGAGTCACATTATGTGCTCTTATTTACACCAGTGCGATATCGCCATCCTTTCTGAGGCAGCATTGAGGCGCTGGCTTTAAACGCTCTTGTGTCTGATCCACAATACTGACTATAAATAAAAGTTAACTTCAGTGCAGTTTAAGCCAGCAACAAAACTACTGCTTGTTTTTATCAAAGTGCGAGTGTGAAGCACAGAGGACTGCTTCATAGACCAAGGACATACAGCTGCTGTCAACACGCTGGATTAGATTCTTTTTACAGACGATCGTTTTGAGTCAGGATTAAAAGGACACTTATTTGTAAAGACTTGTGATCTGAGAGGTACCTGTATGAGTGATGAGTGTTGAAAATGCATTGGTGTTGAAGTTACTTTCGGTTCTTTCCATGGATCTGTTAAAATAACTCTAAGCTACCACACATCAACAGACAGTTTTCTGTGTAATGTGACTACAGCGGCTGTATGTATGCATTGATATGTAAATGAGACATTGACATGCATTGATAAGTAAATGAGCACCGAATAGAGTTGTTGATAAAAAATAAAAAGGCATTTACGAATATTATTAATTACCATGGCGTGTATGCATTTAGGCTAAAGGCTAAGCGGTAGTTTAATTACTTACTTTGTTTACAGGCAAGAATGTGATGCAAAAATGCCATTAGGCCGAACTACTGTCCTTAAATATGACTGTAAAAAGGCACAATAACAGGAAATGTAGCCTAAATTAACCCAATTTAAATTATAGTAGAGCCAAGTCTAAGTTTTATAACCTGTTGAAGATTTACAGTGAATTTTAAAATCACTAAATATATCGGCTTTTTGCACCTCCTCCTCCACCGGTTTTATCAGTATTGTATCGGATCCAAAAATATCCATATCCATATCAGGTGGGCCTTATGATTTTTCATTAAAATCTGTTGTATTTTGGTGTATAGCTTGAACCGGCCAAATTTTATTTATCAAAATCTCCAAAGGACAACAAAATAATCACAGACTAGATCATTGTTCAGTCACATTTGTGAGTGAATAATAATCACTGACGATGCTCTAGGCTGGAGGAAAGAATCCATCGCCAAGTTCATGTTGTGGCCCCAGCTAACATGTGAAATAAATATTGCTCAGATGGCAACAATGATGGTGGATTTTGCCAGTGTTTCATTTTTGAAAAGTGCCAAGCTGTAGTGTTGTGCCAAAGGATTTGTAAAAGAGAGAAAGTTATGTAGCTATAGATACTTCCTGGCTTACTTTTGCCACCCAATAACTACATGCAAGCCAAAGCTGTTTCCTATCTGTCTGGCACCAGTTGCAAGTAATAAAAACAGAGACAGAGACAAAATATAAAAATAATGTGTATAGTTTAATAGCTTAATTTATGTGTGCTAAAAAGTGTTTATTCCCCATTTGTTCTGAAGCGTCAAAGCACACACCATGTCTCTAGATAAGACAAACAAGGTGGGCTGCCCAAGGACATCTGATAAAATGTTTTAGTTCTTTTTGCAAATTGTGAACAAGGGTTACCTGAGTGCTTTGCTGTATTTCTTGATAGCACTTTTCCAGTCCTGATTTTTAAAAAGAGTGTTTCCGATGTTTTTCAGATCCTCAGCCACATGCTGAACTTTATCAACCTGAAATTAACAAATAAACACACAAAATGGACAAGAAAATTTCAAAGTCAGTCATTAAACAGATGGCAAAAGCTGTAGAAACAGAGTTCCCCCAAGTGACCTTAAAAGAAACTAGCACTTGTGGAGAATCTGACAAAAAAAATTAATAATAATAATAAAATTCATTAAAAGAAACAAAACTAAATAAAAATGGATGCACAACAAATATTCAGAGTATAGGTTTAAATAGCGATAGCAATTGCTTTTCTCCATGGAAATGTTATTGCTTTGTCTGGAATGTTTTACCCTATGGCGTTAAACCTTTCTATCTTCATGGAGACCAAACCAGACCAAATTTACAAGCCAAATCTGTGGACAGGCAATCCCTGTCACAGTCAGAATGCCTGTATTTTGGGTATTTTTGAGCTATAAAACCACCTGTACATGAATAAATGTAAGGTAGAGCTGTTTAATGTCATATTGTGGAACATTCCAGGCAGAGCAATGACATATCCATAGAAACAAGAAGAAGACAAACCCCCAACCAGAAAGTTACATAGTGCATCTTTAAGAACTCTGAAGATATCTAACAGTTCCACACTCAAAATCTGATAAATATTTAAAGAGTTTTAAGATTATTTAGAATCCTAAGTTCTTATGATTTTTACTTCTATTACATTTTTAATTTTGAATAAATTTCCCTTTATACACACTGAAATTTCTTTGTTACTTTCTCTATATTTGTGTTGAGTGGCAATGACTGAAGTGTGTATTGTTTTATGTTCAGGGAATATAACTTGAAAATCTTTTTGTTCTTAAATCTGCCCAGCTCAGTGAACAAATACATTTTTCTTCTTTCATTGATATGAAAGTATAATTCAACAAAAAAATAACAACAAAAACACCACACACTTTGGATTCTCGAAACATCTCGCCTCCTCTAATCCACTTGGACTCGAGCCGGTGCTTCAAGTATTTGCAGACTTTGAAATTCTGACTCAAATAGATCTTTTGGTTTTTAGAACAAACAGAGAAAACAGACACTAGATTTCCCTGAGTGCTGTTGGAGAAAATTACATTTACATGCACGCCAGGACAACTGGATAAATGGCCTAGTCCAATTTAAACCAATTTATCAAAATGCATGTAAAACTGGGAAGTACAATGGAGATGTCATGGTTTCAATATCCAAGATCCTAATAACACACCTGGAGAAGCATGCATATGTACTCCGATACATGCCGCATGTAACAGTGCAGTCCGGCTTACATTAGGTGCAGGCTAGGAGAGGCACGGGGTAAGAAACAGTCAGGAAAATAATAGGTATGTGTTTTGATGTGTATTCCGTAGTTTTAGATGTTGAGATGAGATGTTGCTTATCTTAGTTTGCTAAAAGTGTGGTTATATGCATGATAGCTGTTTTATTAGCAATTACAGCGTAGAGAGAAGAGATGTCCCAAAAAATTTGTGACAGTCCCGAAATCTAAGATGTTGTCCCGAATACCAAATGCGGCTCTAAATGTCTCGAAAATTACACTCAAACAGAATACTGAGTAGTTATTTTCTGATTCAGCTGATCAGAAAATGACGGCACGCAGCCTCTCACGGCTTCTAAGTGGCTCTATTTTGTTTATTTGTTTACGTTCTACAATTAGGCGAGAATATGCACTGACCATAAGCTCATTTTCATTAATTTGACATGGTTGGTGTACCAGAAACCCAACACGCCGCTAAAAAGCAAAAGCGTCAATGCAGGTACCAGGAGGAGTGGGTTGTGAAGTAACCCTGGATTGTCAAAGCCTTAAGCCCCCATTTTCACATGTTTGGTTCTTTGATCTGCTGTAGACAAGAGTGGTTTGACAGGAACAATTTGAATTTTGTTGTTTAACACACTGTGATTTCTCTGTGCAGGTAAAGGCAGTTGAATGTCAGATTAAAGCAGAACTCACATCTTTAAAGTCGATATCTGCGTCCTCTGGGAACTCTGGGTACGTGTCCCCTGTGCCGTCATCTGGCTCCACGCCCCAGCTGTCCCCGTCCTTGTGCTCCCCACAGTCTGAGATGATGCAGGGCTTTGGGCAGAGGGGCAATGTCAGTAGCATTTTATAGTGCTTCTAAGATCAGGCTATAAACCGTATATAGATGGTTCATGCAAGATTAGGACAGCAACATTAAAAAGTTACAAAATTATAAGGTTTTAATGGTTGTAATTTTCTGCACAATTAACTCCTCTGCAAACAACCAAATGTCTTATGTATAAAACCTCCTATTCCTTTATTTTAAACCTCCCCCGTCATGTTCTTAAATGCATAATTTCGTCACACATCATCACAATTTTCAGTTGGCCTAATGTTAAACCAATGGAGCTCACTAAACTCAAAAGTATTCTGACACTATCCATGGGTTTCAGGAAATTATTCTCTCCTGAGTTGAACTATTTTATGAGGGCCTTTCCCCATTCATTCATATAAAACAACACAATTCAAAGAAAAATATAACAACAGCACTCTGTCCTATGACCTCCACCATGCCAAATCCTTCAAACTAGGAAGGAATCCTTTTTCTTACAATCCTTAAATAGTGTGAGAAATGTATTTCAAGTACCAGCAGATGGTTGGTAGAAATAGCTCTGACTCTATTTCACTTTCTATTGAAAAATGGTGGCCCCTCTTTCTTTAACTGCTGCTGCCAGGCTCAGCATTTTGGTTAAAATATTCATATTAACCTGCTCTACATGATCCTCATGTTTTTATTTTCACCATTACACCTGTAAAGCAAAATATGAACATTGTGAACAGACCAATCAGCTTTCTTTAAGGTTACTCCCATAAGCTTTAGCAGAAAATTTGATTGACAGCGCCCGCCTCCTAAAACAGTGGTGCAGGCATGAAGGGGCGTTACCTTCAACAGCCTAGCTCCTGATCGGCTCTTTGGTTGTGATGACACTTTTTTCAAATTTCCAAATAAGGGTCTTGGCTCCAGATTAGCAGCTATTACTTTAGCCTCAATGAGCTTCATTTGACTTGAGCCGAACACTATGGCGAACAGTTCTTTATACAGTCTATGCTAAGAACACGTAAAACCAATAGCAATATTCTGGCCTTGTTTGATACAAAGACAAAAACCAGCCCATAATATGACAGGAGTGATGAACTTTCTATTTTTAAATGACATGGAGACTACAATATCAGAGAGTTGACTAATATATTTGCCCAGGGATAAGATGCAAAGGAGAAATTCAAATTTGTCACCTGGATGACTGAGGGATTTTACACAGCATTCTTCTCATGTTACAGTTTTTACCTGTACTGGTGCGTCCTCTTTTGTTTCGACAGCCTCTAGGATCTTGACCACTCCCATCCCTTTGAGCACCTGTCCGAAGACCACGTGTTTACCATCCAGGTGAGGCGTGGGCACCGTGGTGATGAAGAACTGGGAGCCATTTGTGTTGGGACCTGCGTTAGCCATGCTCAGCAGCCCGACTTTGTCATGCTGTGAATGAAGTTTTAGTAAGAGAGAGTTGATATAATTTGTAACATTTTAGAACACTGTATGAAGTCTGTGTATTACCTTGTAGTGAAAGTTTTCATCTTCAAACTTGTCTCCGTAAATGCTCTCTCCTCCAGTTCCATTGTGGTTGGAGAAGTCACCTCCCTGGATCATAAACTGTTTAATAACTGAAAAAAACAAATGGTACACTGTTAGTTTACAGTACTGACAGTTCCGGTATTCAGCTCCATATTCCTTTCTGTCAAAGCAACACAAATTGCCTGAGCTGAAATAATTACGCATGCTTCGCTAGTCCAGTGAGACATTTCAATCTAAACTCTTTAAGTAGATCTGAGTTTCCCAACTAGGCCACTATGGTGCCACATGCAATCCTTATTTGAATAAATGTATCAAATAAATTATATTAGAGTAAAGCCTCTACCAATTCATGGCCCAACTTGTGACAATGGGGACATAAGATCGACTATGGGGAGGTCACTGTATTAATGGGAAACACAGGTACAGGATCCATTAGGTAATTTATGTTATTTGGACTATTTTTAAAAGTAATTATTTACTTTTCTTTAATGAAAAAAGTTACACAAAAGCTTGATTTAATTATGTATTTGTTTTAATTTAGTTAGTATTATACATACTAACTAAATTAAAACAAATTATTATTATTGAGTACCCCTAATCTATACGATTAGGGGTACTCAATAATATGACAAAATCCCTAAGGGTTAACAGATCATAATAAGGTTGGGAAACACCTAGGGCATACTGCAACAATAAATAATACATAAAAGCTAATCTAGGTGTGAACTTCTTGAGTATACACTCTCTATCCATTGAGATGCATGTGTTGGACTTTGTACATGCCCTGCATATGTAGCGTCTGCCACTTACTTCTGTGGAAGGGGCATCCTTTGAAGTGCAGAGGTTTCCCTGTGGATTTGCCTGTGCCTTTCTCTCCAGTGCACAGAGCCCTGAAGTTCTCTGCTGTCCGAGGAGTCACATCGGCAAACAGCTCCAGGACTATCCTTCCCACTGTGGACAACCCCAAGCAAGAGGTTAGATAGGAACCACCAACTATTCTTGAGTCAATTTTTATATTTTTTTAACCAGTAGCGACTAATAAGAAAATATTATCTCTTTTGAATGCTGTGAAGTACTTTAAGAAGTTCACAGAGAAGCTAAAACCCATGAATGAAGGTGTTAGACTGTTTTAATAGCCCTTGTTTGATTTTTTTTTAAAATTTTTATGCCATTTAATCTATATTTAATGTCAAGCTTGAATCCTGCATAATTCTTTTGGAATGATTGAAGTGATAGCTTGCAAACTTTCTGAATTTGAAGACTTGAAGAGTTTGTGGAGATGCATCACATGCTCACAGTAGGGACACATGTTTAGTGCAAGACCAAACATGTGTCATATGCAAGACAAGAAAAACACTCATAATGGAAAAGCATGAATTTATTTCAGTCTATATAGTCTAAAAACGTTATATACTGTGACTTTAAATAAGGAAAAGTATTGAACAACAAACTGACCATTGTTAAGTTGTAACCTAAGTCAGACAAACGCATCAAAGGGACAGATGGGCTAATGTTTAAGGTTCAAATTACAAAATTAAGCTTCTAGAAATTACTAGAGAATAAATGGTACCAGTAGGTGCTTCGCTATGAACATAAATCCAAGATATTTAAAGCCACAGACCAATCTATATGTTTGAAACAGGGTTATCATTATGTTTATATTGTTGCCAGATGAGCAGCACCTTTTGTGACAATGTAATGTAATACAAAACAACTACACGTGGTTAGTTGCAAGCTCAGTGCATTGACAAAATTGTGACCAGTAACGACAGTAAGATATATGATTAATAATAGTGCTGAAAATGTAAATACGCAATGGGGAACGTAAATGATGATCTTAAAGCTACATCTGCACAAGTTCTTCAAATGAATGGGGCTAACTACAGCGCTGAAGCTAACCTAAACTGGCCCAAAATAGCTCATCCCGGGGAGATTATTTTACACATTCTGACCTTTTTCGCCTCCGATGTCTACGTCCAAGAAGACTCGGGGGTTGGCGGGGTTTGAGGGCTTTTCTGTGGGCACTGCGTGAGACATTTTGCGGAGAATGTGGAGGTTTCAGTCACTAGTTCGAGAGCTAATCATGGAGCTAGGCTAGCGACGGGAACAGGCACCGGTAGGATGAATGGGGACACACGGCACTTCCGGTTCCAGCACTTCAAATTAAGAGTCCGCAGCGAAAAGTGTACGCGGGGAAATGGGAGAAATTATGAATGGGGACTTTATTGTGAAAATGTGTATAGTAGTCACAGTCAGTTTTTAAAATAACTAGCCTATTTGTAATGTGAAGAGTTATTTGTGTTTTTAAATAAGATTTTAGTTGCAACTTAAATCTTATTTAACTGTGAGCTGAATGTAAACTGTATAATCTAAGAGTGGATCCAGTGGCCAGTTAAGGGTTAAAATGACTCTGCAAAATCTACAACTACACATTTTATAAAGGTGCCAAAAAGTAGGTAGACTGACAAAAGCAATTGTACTGTGCACTAGGAGTGTGCTAAAATATCTAAACAGGCCAGTGAAATATGGTTGTCTGCTTTTGTGGCTACCTGGCTCCCACACTGAGCAGTTTTTTATCATATCATGGGTTTTAACCAACTAAAAAGTGCAGCATGTGCAGTTCAAAGGACTCAAGTAAAATAAATAATATAAGGGACTGTTGGATTTTGTGAAATTACCTTTTTTCCCATATCCATGGCAACTACACAAGAAGCTAGCTATGAACAGTGTTTCCAGATTGGGTCCCAAATTGGGCTTCTTTTTACTATGTCAGGCAGGGAGGGGAAGCCTTAGGTGGGCACATAATATTTGGTCTACTTTCAACAAATTTGCGCAGTTTTTGTTTTCACACCAATCATATTAAAGATTAAAGTGTTAAAAACCTCAACAGAGGTAAAAACAAACTAAGTTTTAAAATCTGTTGAAGGTGGTTCCAGTCACTTGCTGCAGAAAACTGAAATGAGGAACGGCCGAAAGCTGTGCGGGCTTTAGGAACGACCAGGGTTATGTATCTGTTGGAGTGTTTTCTCAATCCTGGCAATGTTTTTAAAAAGCCAATAGATTACGTTACAACATGTTTATTCAAATATTAAGCTAAATGACTAATTTTTTTCTGTGATAAATGAAAATACTGTTCTACATTTAACATGTTTTCTCAATACTGGCAATGTTTTTAAAAAGCCCAACAATACATTACATTACATTCAACAATTAAATGTTTTCTGTGACAAATCGTTGGGCGTTTTTGTTTTGTTTTTTGTTTTGTGTTTTTTTGTGTTTTTTTTTCTGAAGAGGGCACGTTTTTGAATGTGACTGGGCAGAAATCATTAAACCCAATCTGGCAGCACTGGCTATGAAGCTAACTAAGGAGTTAGCTGTGGACATTTGAGATGCTACAGGCTTTTTACACCAGATGTGGCAGCATTTGTGGCAGAAGTAATGTGACCAGATTTTCTAAATAAAAAACTGGGTCATCCCTGGTTTGTGGTGGTTGGCATTAAGAAAATTATGAATTGAGTGCGTAATTAAGGAAAATTGTTCTATACTGAGCCCTTTCACGACTAACATGAGTCAGTATAGTCACATTCTCTTTGTGTTTTGGTCATTTTTAAGCAGCTTTTCTGTATTTTACCTAAGCAAATGACAATGTATGCCTCTTTTTAGAGTCAGCAGGTATCAAATTGGTTAAAAATAGAGACACCAGGGACTTTTCTTATATAAAACTGGGACAAATCAATGACTGAGACACAAAGGTCACTGAGACGCACAGTGGAAATGTTGCAGCAAAACGTCAGCAGTTTGCTTGAATACTTTACTTGAATATTCCTCAGGATCAATAAAGTAATCTCTTTTTCTTTCTGTCTGAGGCTTTGTTAGACTTTAATCTGAGCTTTACTTCAATACAATCTGAGTGTGTGAAGTACCTTGCCCAGGGACACAAGAACAATATGAAACTTTTCCTCAGCAAGTATGGGATTCAAGCCTCTGACTTTTGGTTTAGTGGACAAGCACTCTAAGCAATAAGCCAATACCTCCATATAATCTTGAAATTAATTCTGGCTACACTGTAAAATGTATGACTCCAATTTTGTGTAAGTGCCACAAAAGTCATATAGACAGAAATATTAGCCCCATAAAATTCAGTAAAAAGATGGAGCACACCCAGCTCGGCCTTCTCAATGCCTATAGCGCTCTTTAAATTCAGTCCACAAACTTTAAGTGGGATTTTTGAGCACCAATACCACTGATGGAGTTTTCGGGAAATTACAGTTTATCCCCAAAAGAGAAGCTGGCATGTCTTATCATTTTAAAATTAATGCCCGTTTTTGGGGTAAAAAGTTTTACAGTTATCTGAAGCAGTCAGAATGAAGGGGATTGTTTTAGCCTTATGGGCAGGATTACAGGCTATTCTCAACATGTCTATGTGATAATGGAGAGAGATTTGATTTAACGGGTATTACAGTTTTGTGTTTTGTGGGCAAGATGGAAACAATAGCATATTACATGAAACTTTTACAATAAGATGCAGAGAATACTTAGACAAACTTTACTGATCCACAAGGGAAATTATTTGGACACAGTAGCTCACACATCACAATAATAACAATAATAATAATAATAATAATAATAATACATTGGTTTTATAGAGCCCTTTTGACGGTCACACAAAGACGGTTTGCAATACAGTAACACTAAACAAGGACAGACAGTAATGAGCAAGGGCGTAGGTTTGCATAGGGCCAGTGGGGACATGTCACAACCAATATTTGGGGAAGACAAAATAGTCCCTACCAATATTTGCCATTTTATTTTAATAATCAAAAATATAAATTTATTCCAATATTTTCCAAACTCAATACTATTAATTTAAATCAGTGATATGACAACAGGGTTACCCATGCGGCTATTTCATTGGCTGCAACAGAGTGCACCTGAAGATGCTGGCTTGAGCAGGCGAGAGTGAACATGATGCACACTAAACTTTGAAAAACTTTTCAAAAAGAACTTACTTGGCTTCATCTTCAGTTAAACTTACCTTATAATGAGTCGCAGCGGAAAAAGAGCGACTATCACCACAAGTGCACCTCCCAAACGGAGCTCTACTCGTGCGCTGTGAGCAGCTGGACTCTATTGACAATATTCCATGGAAAAATGTCTGGATATTACCTCTCAAATATCTCATCACCAACAAGCAAAGGGAAACCTACAACAAACTTCTACAGCGCTGTTATCCGCTAAACAATCATCTTAGAAGGGCAATGGATACAAACTGTACATTTTGTGAACTGAAAACTGAAACCACGTCTCACTTATTTTGGACTTGCCTAGACTCTGTGTTTTTGGAAAGAATTTATAAAACATATACACAACTTCTTATCCCATTTTACTGTTTCTTATAAACATGTGCTGTTCAGTTTTTGCAGTGTGTGTCATACAAAAAGTAAACAATATCATATAGTTAATCTATTAATCAAGTAACCTATCAGTTGGTTTCATGGGTCTCACCAAAGCTGAGACCAAACCTACACCCTTGGTAATGAGGAGCAGTCATGTGTAGGGGCTGTAGACTGTGAGGAAAAAATGTGTTTTGAGCCGTTTTTTGAAGATGTTTAGTGAGTCTGAGTTCCTGATGTGAAGGGGGAGAGAGTTCCAGAGGGTGACAACAGGCATGGCAAAGGCTCGGTCCCCCAAGTTCAGGTGCTTTGATTTGACTGTGGGAGTGACAAGGTTAAATTCGGCTGATCGGAGGCGGCGGGCGGGGGGTTTAGTGGGACTGGACGAAGGTCTGAAGGTCTATGAGGTATGGAGTATTATATATTATAATAATGAAGAGCAAAAATATGAATGGTAATAAACTCATAAGTACAAATAAAATAAAAATAGACATACAGTCATATATACACAAATATATCTCTCAGATATATAGTATACATGAGGATATAAAAAGAAAACAGTGTAAAGATAAAATAGTGATTGACATTACATAAGGTTATCTGTTGTTGTAGGTACAGGTGTATGGAGTATGAATGTAGTCCTGTGTATTTCACTATCTGAGCAGAGGGTGTAGGAGTAGGAGCCAAGTCTAACCTTGACCCTGCATGTACTTTAGTTAAACTGTTTAAGTTTATTTCATTTAACATTATGAACAATTATGTACAGCAGAGGCACAAAGAATGCAGCATTGGCAATTCATTTGTATGCTTTCACTACGACTACCAGAAACCACGGTTAACCTGTGCTATACAAATTATATACAAAGAATGAATTCTTGGCCTATAGATAGTACTTATATAATGCAGCAGCTATTTTGACAGTTTAGTGGAAAAAATATTTGATATAGCCGATGGAAATGTAGTGCCTGGAATCAGTAAGAGCTTTGGAGGTCTTCGAAACAGGACCTATGCAAAATGCAGATTGAAACCTTGCTTAGGGCTAATCAGCTACATGGTGCCCTGATATTTTAGGTTAAATCTGTGGTAAATGTGTTTTCTGGACTGAAAACAAACATGTTAGAGATGGTTACCACATAGCGATGCCTTTTGAACTCTTAAAGGTCCTACACACATTACGCAAAATTTACTCTTGTGAGATTTAAGCCATGTTAAAACGCTGTCATCTCCTCAAAAAACATGGCTGGAGTTGTATTTTGTTTCATCCACACATGTATGAGTAACCTTTACACGCTCTGTTCCACCTTGGGATGTCATGAAGCAGTGGTTTTCAAGTTAACCGCTCCCTTTTACCTTTAGTTCAGTAGAAATCATCCAAATGATTCTAGTGAAGGTGTATGGAGTTTATGGAGTGTTTTCTGTAGAAGAACTCAGTATAAATATGCAGTGTATGTGTGTTAAGCATTTGATTTCCTGAGTTTCTATAAAAGAAAAGGGGTGAAGGCCAGAGCACCAGAGCTCCACCTCTGCTGCCCACATGCTACGACAGAGAATGAAGCACAGTAGCCCATGCATTTTATTCATTACTGTAAACAACGGGTGTGTGTTACGACCCAGCCCTGCTTAGGACAAGAGAAGTAACAAAAGAAACAAGATGGATAATGAAATAAATTAAATAATGTTTAATCAACAGGGGTGTAAAAGATAAATTAACAAAACAGATTACAATATATACAGAAAATAACCTAAACTAAGAAACAAAACAACAGGACATAAAAACGAGTTAAATTAATGCACATACACAAAACTAAAGCACAAGTGGCCCCAAAGTAAACCCACAAACAGAATCAAGTGACAAAATAAATAAGAAAAAAAGAACGAAACAAGTGTCAACAAAACAACAAAAGTCAGACATGTACTAGTACAAAACAAGTGACTGACATGAAAGAGACACACAAACACAAAATGGCACACTGGCCACCAAGACCAGCAGCCCCAAAAAGGTCCTGACAATCTCCCTAAATAGGGTTAGGAGGCTGGAGGTGACGCAGGATTGGCCAGGTATAAAAGTATTCTACCAATCATGGCCTAGGGCTACCACAGCAGGATCGAGGACAGCCATCAAAACAATTTAAAGCACACGAAACTAATTACAACTGGAGGCCTGGAGCTGTGTGTCCTAAGGTAACAGGGAAGGTAAGGTAAGACATGATATATTGACCATTCAGTTAACATCATGAGGGTTAAAACAAAAGGGTCTATGGTGGGTAGCAATCAGTCCATCAGGTGATCCTTCACACAGTGTGAGCTGTGAATTATACTGACATATGACAACATTATGTGTCCTCGTTGGTGTCACTAAAACCAGTCATTTATAAAAAAAAAAAAAAAATCATACCAACCTGTGTAAAGGAAACAAAACACGACTCCAGGCATGTTTGTGATGAGGAAACAATCAATCAATCAATCAAACTTTATTTATAGAGCGCTTTTCACACACACACACAAAAAAAAAGCAACACAAAGCGCTTTACGGTGATAAAAAATAATCCAACATTTCCTTCCACCACCCCACCCCCCAACTATCTGGAATCTGACATGGCAATCTTTTTTACAACTAATTATCTGGAATCTGGAAACTTATACTAACTGTATAGAATCTGGGACACTAAGTTTCTGAACCAGTACATAAAATAAAAAAGAAACCCCTCTGCAACATCACCACATACAACAAAAACACAGTACAGACATAATCGACAAGACTAGCGACCAAGGAGGAGAGAGAATTTAAGACGACCACAAAATATAGACAGGCAGCCTCTAGCTACAGCCAGGGGGCGCTGGATACAACAGACCCACCCGCCAATTGTGGGTGGGGCAAAAGCTGCGAGAGCATAGAGAAGGTTGACGAGGTGGAGATATAACAATATTATAACATAGATCAGAAAAGAAGTCTAATATGGGCCCTTTAATATTCAAATTTTTGGAAAAGTCTGTGAGAAAAATGAACAGAAAATTTTCTTACGGAGTTCGAAGTCGAGTGCGGTAATTTGGTCCATGCATCTCCACTCACCCTGTTTATGCTAAGAAATATTACTGCTTCAGGTATCTGTTTGAATGGGGAATATAATTAAAACACAATAGACTAAAGTGTACACTATTAGAGCCCTTAAAATTATAATACATAGAGAATTAACAAAGTAGACATTTTGGCAAAGAAAGTGTAACATGGTACTAGTGGGTATTTGTATTATGAGTTGGTGCCATTCCTATTTAACAGATCCATATGCATGTTTCACAATCTATATTTAACTTTGCAAAAACGGAGGTGGGTACAGTAGCCAAAAATGTAATATGTTACTCATGTATACAAAATATTCTGATAAAAAAGTCAAAACTCAAGAGTGAAAACATCTTTGGGGAAACTACTCGTCAAGTATGTGAAAATTTGAGTGACTGTCTAGACCAGGGGTGGGCAAACTTTTTGACTCGTGGGCCACAAAAGGTTCTAAAATTTGACGGAAGGGCAGGACCAGGAGCAGATGGATGGAGTTTTTTAGTAATCCACCTCATAAGAGAAAAAAATTACAAAGCATTAGAACAAAATATCTGTCTTTCAAGTTCCACGGACGTAACATCCAATTTTTAGTTTGAAGTTAAAGTAATTGCTATCTTGTTTTGACAAAAATGAGGGATTACACCAACTGGTTTCCAACATCTATGACAAAGCATTAAATAATACACCAAATCTGGTATTTTCAAAAGATAGACTTTAAAAATGAAGGAGCGGTGCAAGAAACACAAGCGTTCAAATCAGTTCATACTGTCAACATAAAGCTTTTTTCACATTTAGATATTGCTTTGTCACAGTGAGGAAGTGAGCAAAACTGTCACTCAAGAATATTTTTACTCTCCAGTTTCAAGTAAATTTCCTCAAAAATGTCATATATATGTTATACCTTTATGTCTATACAGTCACATTATATTAGTCCTCCGCAGCAGTGTCTGGATTTTAGACCATTGCGTCTAATCGGAAAAGATATTTTGACTATTATCCTCTCACCAAAATGAAAATTAACTTCAGAAAAGCAGAGAGCAAATTGGCAGCGTTGATACATCCGTTGCTCTAAGCCATTTCTAAAATTGAATAGTTGCGAGAAAAAAAAAACAAGGAACAAAGTTTAATCAAAGTTACAGCATCCCATCTGTCATCAACGCCCATTCTCTGAGGAAAACTTTTTGTGTGCTTGAAGTGGTGAGTCAGATGCTGTCTTCTTCCTGGAACCAACACAACATAAATAGTAAAGTATGAATATATTTGTATATGCTTAAAAGTCCTATATTACACAAAAATTACTCTTGTGACCTTCAAGTCATGTTATAATGCTGTTAAATCTGTGTATCATTCATGCATTCGTTTTTCAATATAAAACCAAAAATAAACACAAAATCGAAAACTGAAAAAAACAAATCGTTATCTGTTTTTTTCATTTTGGTTTTGGAGACAAATAATGAAGAAAATAGTTGTTTTTTTCCTTTTCTTATTTTTGATTTTACATTGAAAAATGAAAGAATGAATGGTACACGAATTGTGTTACCTCCTCAAAAACATACCTGCAGTTGTGCTTTGTTTCAGTCGCATGTTTGTGTAGCCCATCTATATAATATATTTTGATGAAATGTTAAATTATGTCGTATTTATCAATTACAGTATATGCACTGTTAATTTATTAAATTTGAATGTAATTAATACATTGTAGCATCGAGAGCAGCCAGGAAATGGGTGGTGCCGATAGTTGGGGGTCCAGCTATAAAAGTAGGTCAGACACGCCCATCCAGTTGCTGTGAGTGTGGCCTGCGCTCAGGTGTTGTAGCCCTGCGTGCCTCGCATGTATTGAACCGCTTGGATAAAATAAACGTTGCAAAACGGAACTATTTGCCTGGATTATTTAAGAGTGCAACATTTGAGTAATCCTGCATTATCAGTCTGTTTACAACACCAAAGCTCAAAATGGTCTGTTCCACCTTGTGATGTCATACTCCATACACTTTCCCAAGAATCATTTGGATATTTTAGCCCTGGAATTACCCATCTTTACTGAATTAAAGCTACATGACATCCCAAGATGGAACAGAACGAACGAATGAATGAATGAATGATTAATAGCCTTTATTTGTCAATTTCTTCACATGCACATATAAAGAAATCGAAACTGGACCTGTCACCCCGTTCGTATATTACAAATATGCAATATACAGTACATGGGGAAAACTACGTGGACCGGACTAGAAGACAGGTAGCAGATAGGAATAAACAATGCAGCATAACATGAGGATTGGGGGAGGACGAAATAAAGAGAACAGCCCAAGACCATGCCCCTTAACTGGGGGATAGTATAGTAGAGTGCACACACACACACACACAAAACACCTCCGCACATCAGCACATAGTCAAAACACAGTACAAACATTTCACAGGACTAACATCAGGGTAGGGGAGGCTGTGGAGTTAACCCAACGTAGGCAGGCAACCATCCAGATCTGCAGCCACTGGACGCTGGATACCACAGACCCACCCACCAGGCCGGGGGTGCAAAGCTGCGAGGGGTTGGGTATTCGGAGTAATCTCTGGGGGAGTTGATACCAACCAGTGCTGGCTGTCGAGGGCCAATGATATTATTCGTGTTGTTTGGGTATAGAGCGAGCAGCTGCTTTTTAAATTTCCACAGCTACTCTTTTTTATTCATATATTGGTCTCAAGTCCTTTCCTCTTTGCAAAGCTTCGAGTTTTCTCCAAGATGTTATCCAATATTGTGATTTAGAGCCACCATGTCCATCCAACCGGTGGTCAGTGACCGCGAACCCGGCCCATAGTCAGAAGTTCAAGCGCTCACAGCTATGCTCCTCATTTCTGTCATTCTGGGCAGCCAAGTGGGGTTTTGAACAGCTGCCTCAGTAATTCAAATTGTCCAAAAAATCAGGGCCATGCTTAATCCAATCAGCAAATGTCCTGCAATCAGGGTTCAGAATAGGCAAATGTCTTCCACAGACTGGGGCAAACAAGTCCCCCCTGAACCTGTATTCCAAGATGTCAGTGGCGCTGAGAGCCCACCTTATGAAATCCATAGTTAATTTACTTTTGGAAGAGCAGAGCAGAGAGAATTTCTCACAAGTATAAGACACTAGACACTAGACTAGATGAGACAAAGAAGCAAAGCAGGGAAGAAAAGGGGCAAGAGACAAGAGAAAAAGCGTTTGCCCTCACCAAGAGGCAAACGAGATCCAAGACATTGTGATCTTTGGAGATATAGACAGACTAATAACGCAGGGTTACGCAAACATATGTGAATGAAACAAAACACAACTTCAAGTATGTTTTTGATAAGTTAACAACATTCTAACATGGCCTAAAGCTCACAAAAGTTGATTGTATATAATTATAATTATATATATATATATCAAATGATTAAATAAATGAACTGATCTAATAGAAACTCCTCCTTTTGTAAGTTGAAAATAAAGGATCCATAGATGTCTTATTCTCTTGTTTAAACCGTGTACATGCTGTTTTGTCTGGAGTGCACCTGTTTGAATTATATATGTGGTCACTCAGTATTACAGCCCTCTCACTGGAGCCCACGTGTAACTGGATTCTCACACAAAGAACACAAGACAGAACCGAACTCAGAGTGTTACCGTGGAGGTGGTTGGAAGCGCTGAGCCACTGTGTCTTCCACTGCAGCGCGGATGTCTGTTTTCTGCAACACAATACAGTATGCACATTAAATTTGACCCATGTTATAATTTTGTAACCTCATCAAAACCTGGAGTTGTGTTTTGTTTCATTCACACATGTTTGAGTAACCCTGAATTACTGAGCTATCTACATCTCCAAAACTCAAAACACTCCTCCTTGTGATGTCACGAAGCGGTAGTTTTCAAGTTAACAGCTACCTTTTGTCTTTTGCTCACTAGAGATACGCAATTTCAGGGCTGAAATGATCCAAATGATTCTAGTGAAGGTGTGTGGAGTTTAAAAACACACTGGAGCACTTCCTGTATCATGTAAGTCAGCCTAAATATGCAGGATTTGTGTGTTAAACATGTGTGAATGAAATAAAACACAACTCCAGGTTTCTGATGTGGAAACAACAATATAACACAGACCCGGAAATAGCATAATATGGGCCCTATAACCTTTGTACTCAAGTAAAAGTACAGTTACATGGCTAATAATATATTACAAGTACAATTACTGCTGCCAAAACTGTACTTAGGTATGAGTAAAAAGTTCACATAAAATACAGCCTACGAACCAAAGTACTGAACTCAATTAAAGAAGCAGTTTATATCAATCTTTTATATAAAATTTGATCAATCAAAGTGTTTATAACTGTGAAAGTTGTTTTAAACTACAATTAAACTACTGTAATTATTCTAAATCAGGGTCAAAACCAGGTCTAAACCAGGTCTAAACCAGAACTAAACCAGAACTAAAACCAGGACTAAATCCAGACTAAAGCAGAACTAAACCTGGTCTAAACCAGAACTAAATCAGAATGAAAACCAGGACTGAACCAGGTCTAAAACCAGGACCAAACCAGGTCTAAACCAAGACTAAACAAGGACTAAAACAGGACTAAACCAGAACTAAAACCAGGACTAGACTAGGTCTAAACCAGGTCTAAAACCAGGACTAAAACAGGACTAAACCAGGTCTAAAACCAGGTCTAAACCAGGACTAAACCAGTTCTAAACCATGTCTAAACCAGAACTAAACCAGAACTAAAACCAGGACTAAACCTGGATTAAACCCGGACTAAACCAGAACTAAACCCGGACTAAACCAGAACTAAACCTGGTCTAAACCAGAACTAAATCAGAACTAAAACCAGGACTGAACCTGGACTAAACCCGGAATAAACCAGAACTAAACCTGGTCTAAACCAGAACTAAATCAGAACTAAAACCAGGACTGAACCAGGACTGAACCAGGACTAAACCAGGACTAAACCAGGTCTAAACCAAGACTAAACCAGGACTAAAACAGGACTAAACCAGGTCTAAACCAGATCTAAACCAGGACTAAACTAGGTCTAAAACATGTCTAAAACAGGTTTAAAACCAGGACTAAATCAGGACTAAACCTGGTCTCAAACAGGTCTAAAACCAGGACAGAATCTTGCAGCTAACCATAACGAGAATATGAATCGGCCCGGGGGAAATCGATAAATTACTGAAACATGCATGGGTGACATCTGAAACCCCTGCAGGCATGTTTTGATGAGAGAAAAATATACTGAACACAATTAAAGAAGCATTTTATATCAGTCTTTTATATAAAACTTAATCAATCAGTGTCTAAAGTGTTTAAAACTGTAAAAGTAGTTTTAAACTACAATAACAATTAAACTACTTTATCCATCCATCCATCTTCGTCTGCTTATCTGGGGCCGGCAGTCAAAACAGGGACTTCCAGACTTCCAGCTCACTCACACACTTCCTGCAGCATTTCTGGGGGGATCCCAAGGCGTTCCCAGGCCATCAGAGAGACATAGTCCCTCCAGCATGTCCTGGGTCTTCCCCGAGGCCTCCTCCTGGTGGGACGTGCCCAGAACACCCAAAGCTCATGACCATAGGTGAGTTTAGGAATGTAGATTGACCGGTAAATCAAGAGCTTTGCCTTTCGGCTCAGCTCCCTCTTCACCACAACGGTCCGATACATCGAATGCATCACTGCCGACACTGCACCGATCCACCTGTCATTCTCACGCGCCATTCTCCCCTCACTCGTGAACAAGACCCCGAAATACTTGAACTCCTCCACTTGAGGCAGGAACTCTCCACCCACCTGGAGAGGGCAAGCCACCTTTTTCGGGTCAAGAACCAAGCCAACAGGGCAACAGCAATTGCAAACAGCAGAGATGAGATCCTGTGTCCAAATTCTGTCCATAAATACAGTGAACAGAACAGGTGACACAGGGCAGCCCTGGGAACATGCACTGGGAACAGATCTTAATGCCAGCAATGCAAATACAGTTCCTGCTCCGGTCATACTGGGACCGGACAGCCCTTAAACTACTTTACGAATTCTAAATTACATGTACAAGTTCATGTTTAAAAACTGATGCAAAAAAATACAATTAACCAAAATTGGTGACGTAGATTTGTGGGCTGAGCATTGGACAGAATCTTACAGCTATCCATAAGGACGATACGAATACGACCTGATAAATTACTGAAACATGCCTGGGTGACATCTAAAACCCCTTCAGGCTTGTTTGGATGAGATAACAACGTTATAACATGGGAGAAAGCTAAAAATAAAACAATACTCCCTCTCAAAATATGAAAGAATTATGATAAATGACTTGGCTGCAAAACAGCACATCATTGTATTCTACCAAAATACCACTGGCCCTATGTATTTTGCAGTTAAACCAGTTATGTGTTATTAGAGCACTATAGGACTATACAGCTCAATCAATGGACCATTAATCATTAGAAACAGCTGCAGACGTCATCTCCTTGGTGTTCCTTATTGCTACTGACAATATATAATTATTTTGTGACAACTTACAGCAAGCTAAATATATTCACACCCCGGGGAAATGACACACGGCACATTCTGATTTCCTCTTCCAGTGGGTAATTATTTGTATTTATTTTATTGTAATGCCCCTTGAGATGTGCCATTTCCTTTTTGAGATTTGGATTTAAGGTTGTGCAAAAGAAGAACAAAAAAAGAACAAAATGAACTAACTAAAAACAAAACATGTATTTATTTTAGTCTATTCTGGGGCTAAAACGTTAAATACTGTGACTTTATCCATAGACCAGATCAAAAAATCTAAAGTATCTTCATGAAAACAAGTGCCACCATGAGGACAAGCTACAGGTCAGATCTGTGGAGAGGCGACCATACTTTAAAGTTAAAGTCATACTATGTGACATCCCAGGCAGTGCAACAACATCCCCATGGAAACAAACAGAACAGGAAGGCAGAATAGTTGCACAGTGCACCTTTAAAACTTTTAAAACTTTTTAAAACTGCTGCGCTGTCCCTCCCTCAGGAACAACTCAGTCACAGTTGCCCATACATATTTAATACTGAAGTTTTGTATCATTCAAGTTAGCATAACATTGAATTGCGGTCACATATTCAGTGTGTTGTACTGCAATACCAATCCAAAAAATACTCTGCAACTCATTTAAAGGGCCCATATTACTCATATTATTTTCTGATCTATGATATAATACGTCCTCATCACAAACACACTTGGAGTTGTGTTTTGTTTCATTCACACAAGTTTTAATGCACAAACCCCTGCAGATTTAGCTCCATTCTACCTTGGGATGTCATGTGATAATACAGCAAGTGCTCCAGACACCTTCAGCAGAATCATTTGGATAATTTCAACCCCTGGAATTGCCAGTCTCTCGTAAAAGTAGCTGTTAACTTAGCTGTAAACAGTAGAGCCGGACCAATATATCGGTTGGCTGATATTATTGGCCGATATGAACACTTGGAAATATCGGCTATCGGCCTAAATCTTGTCGATATGGGCTGATATTTCATATGGGCATGTTATACCTCATTATAAAGCTTAGACTCTCTAGATTATGTTCATTTAATCAAATTTACAGACACGTGAGTGACATGACTCTGGGGGTGTGTTCAGGGACAGTACGGCCACAGACACAGTTAAATTACTCCGCAGATAAATATTGATGCGGAGTCACATATTAGGACATTTATCTGTCTACACCCGCAGCCATAGATCTATGTGCAACACTGAGATTATATACATTTTATGGACAATGGGTTTAAGTCTGGATTAAAAGGACATTTATTAGTGCAGACTTGTGATCTGAGAGGAGCCTGTGTGAGCGGTGAGTATTGAAAATATGTCTGTTTTGAAGCTAGTTTTGGTTATTTCTCATGGGTTAGAGATTAGCTTCTGTAGCTCCCGCACATAAACAGGCTGTTTTCTCTGACAATGGCCTCGAGTAAAGTGACTATATTGGCCATATATATGTTACTGGACCTGCACTGATACGTAAATGAGCTGTGAATAGAGGTCTGAATAATCGACATTTACGCATATAATTAATTACCGCGGCGTGCACGCATTTACCGCTGAAGGCTAATAGCGATAGATTACTTTCTTTACTGGCTAGAATGTAATGAAAAAATGCCATTAGGCCGACCTACTGTCTGTAAATATGACGTAAAGAGGCAGAATAACAATAAATGTTGCCTAAATAAACCCAATTTAAAATTCACTAGAGCCAAACCTACGTTTCTTAAACAATTCAAGATTTACAGTGAATTTTACATCACTAAATGTATCAGCAATTATATCGGGTATTGGCAGCTCCAATTCCCATTTTTTCAGTATCATATCGGCCGCAACAAAATCCATATCGGTAAAGCTCTAGTAAACAGACTAATAAACCAGGATTAAGTGTGTAATATAGGACTTATATAGGATTTATTTTTATCCCTCACTCAGGAAAAACCCATACACATTTGCCCATGCATATTTAAGCCTGTATTTATTTTTCATTCAAATGAGCATAACATCGAATTGCAGACACGTATTCAGTGAGTTGTATTGCGCTACCATTCTGAAAAATTACTCTGCAATGTGTTTAAAATATGACTCAATATTTGTCTAAGCTGAGAACTGCTCTATTGTTTACTGTTGTACCTTGATTTGCATGTTGCTGAGTAGAGCCTCCTGGTTTAGCCTCTGGTTGTAGTACCAGCCCCAGCCGACCCCGCCCACATAGCTGTCCCGAGACCTGTGTGGAGGGGTGTGGGGGGCTGCCCTCCACAGGTATCCCAGGTCACCCGTGGACTCCGACGACCCGCCGCCTTCTCCTATGTACCGGGGGAAGTCGCACAACCGCTGCCTGTAGTCGCCAATTCCATCAGGGCCTGGGGGGAAAACAATAAATGCCACATTTGCCAATTTCTTTATAATATTGTTGATGTGTGTCGGTGCAATCCCTCAGTTGTAATTTGTGGTCCAAGAGTGGCACAAGAGTTTTAATCATCTTATATTACGCAAAAGTGAGCTTTAAGCCATGTTATAATGTTGTTGTTAGACTACTGCCCCCACGACCCGGCCCTGGATAAGCGGAAGAAAATGGATGGATGGATGGATGGATAATGTTGTTTCCTCCTCAAGAACATAGTTGTGTTTTGTTTCATTTACACATGTTTGAGTAACCCTTTATTATTCGTCTGTCTACATCTCCAAAGCTCAAAATGCTCTGTTCCACCTTGTGATGTCATGAAAAAGTAGTTGTCAAGTTAACAGCTACTGTTTACCTTTAGTTCAGTAGAGATTAGTCATTCCAGGGCTGAAATTATCCAGTTGAGTTTAAAAACAAAGTGGTGCAGGTATGTTTTTCATGAGGAAACAGCATTATAACACAGATCAGAAAGTAGCATAATATAGACCCTTAAAAAAAAAAATAAATAAATATTTGATAGATAAAGCCAAATATTGAAACCTTTGTAATTAGTGTAAACATATTTTGTTGACATGGACAGCAACGTAACCTAGACAAACATAACATGCAAACTGCTTTTTGGACACCTACACCTTAGTCAAATAAAGCATGGTGTAGGTTTACTAAATCGTGTTACTTAATTATGCGGTGAGTGTATTAATTACGAAGTCACTACTGTAAACCTGAATCATTCTTAATAAAAGTATTTGTTCATGCTTTAGAAAACTATTAAAAGTACAATTATTATAAAGTGTTACCCTTTTTGTGGTAAACAGGTATGCTGTTGTGAATATTTTACCACCAGTGCCTGGGGTGGTGTGCCAGATGATGTCAGAATTATACTAGCAGTTTGGTGCAGACTTCTAATAATATGATGTAGAACAAAATAAAATATCAAGAATGAAATTAAGTAGATTGTTTTATGCTTCATGACACTGACCTATACCAATATCAGTTTTTGAATTAACTCCTGCATATTTTATGTCACCATGATATACTTTGAATTAAAACTAAGCAAAAAAGCTGCAAAAATTCTCTGCTAAGTTGCATAGTTTATACTTCTTACGACTTAAAAATAAGCTTTACAAATACACATTACTTTAAAGCACATGACAGGTTAGGCTACACATTTCACTAAAAGTTAAGAACATTATATTAAAGAGAGAGGGAGAATAGAGATTTTACCAAAAAATCTTGCCATTTTTTTCCCCCTTCTAGTTCTATTATTTTTGTTAAGTTAATTTTACTTCCTGGTTGGACATGGGCCGCAGATACGACATACCATAGAAGTAATTCTATAACTCCTACTTAGCAACCATACTGTAAACAAGAACCAAAATATCACAAAAGTTATGATTAGATGGATAAATATAACAGACAACACCTTTAATTTGTTAAATGAAGGTTTAAACTGCATGTTGAAGACACAGTAAGAGGTATTCCATTTTAAACTTCTACATCGCGCTACATCCTGTAATTTTGTACTTTTTCCTTTCTTTTCAACTTTTCTTCACAAATTGCCACTTAAATAATGTATATGGTCTAATTTTTCATTTATATATGGGTAGATTACAAGCAATTACATGACCATTTGCTGCCTATATTAAACCTTTTAGCACATTACATTTCACTTCAGTCAACCACTTTCTACAACGACTACAAGAAATAAAATATATTTCTCAGTCTATCTTTTATACAAGGCTATAATTTGCATTTTTCCAATTCGGCAAAGGCTGTCCGCTGCAATTTTTACGTCCTTGTTTCCAAATTACATACGATTTTCAATTTGTACCAATCAACATTATCACAGAGCAGCGCTGCATGATAAATCAAATCAAATTTTGAAAGGACACAATTTGCAAATTTTAAATACAAACCCTGTATTTTAGATCTGTACAATCTTTGAAAAACATGTCATTCTTATATTAGTATGTCAGTTCTTATTTCATTCTTTTTGTCAATTCTCCTGGACGTGTTTAAAATGTGAACTCTGACTCCTGTTATCAAAATAAATTGAAAATCTAATCGCAAAGGCAATTCTTACCAGAAAAATCACAATATTTTTCCCAAATCATTCATCCCAAGCAGGTATGCAGTAAATATACACACATGATAGAAAAGTATACCTTATATATTTTATCCATACCTGTAAAAATGATCCTTTGGCCATAGTGGTGGGCTTCCCTGTTGTTACTCATCTCTCCCATCGCAGCATAAGTAGTAGCACATGGAGTAGTGTATCCGTGGTTTGCTGATAACATGAGCCCAGTAGCTTGCTCAGGTCGCGGGGTCACAGCTGGTTGCCATGGCGTCCACCCTCATGGACTACAAACAACAACACGAGATGGATCACTTCTGCTGCTCAGCTGTGTCCACACGGTTATACAGTATGTTTAATGTAGACGAGTCATGCTTCACCTATTAATATAATGAGAATGTTAATGTTATTACCATAGATATAAAGATCCATTGATGATAATACCGTATTTTCCACACTATAGGGCACACTTAAAAGCCTTTAATTTCATCAAAAAACGACTGTGTGCCTTATAATCCAGAGCGCCTTATATATGAATTTATTGGGGTGTCTTAGTATGACTTAAGTCAGGCATGTCCAAACTGGCCCGGGGGCCAAATGCGGCCCTCAGACATTTTTTCTTGGCCCTCAGGATTCCAGGTGAATTGGCCCAAATTTCCTTGCATCAATGAAAAGTAAACTTTTTTACTGCAAGGTTTTTGAAAATCTACCTTGATAAAGCCAATTTTCAATATTTAGTGTGTGGTTTTAAGATCTTAGCATGAATAAAGACTGATGGTTCATTCTAACATGTTTAAACATGCACAATTTCAGTTATTCGCTGTACTGAGCTCTAGTCTACGGCCCACTGCTTATTTGTGTTTAGATATGTGGCCCTTGATGAAAAAAGTTTGGACATCCCTGACTTAAGTAAACTACAAAGTCGCACCACTTGCAGCATTACGGCTACCGTAGTCACGAGCATCGCGGAGTAATACATACTGTGATTCCTTTTAATATCAAAATGTACCTGTCAAGAGACACGCTTATAATGCCGACTTTAAACTCAAGCCTATTATAAAGTTAAAGTGTGAGCTGTGTGGGAGCAGTGGATGAGAGAAAGCGAACACACATTCACCAAGACAGGGAGACAGCGCCGAGCGACTTACGCCACGATCTGCCAATGGATCGTAGATGCTTGGGCTAAGGATCAGTAATAACTGTGGTCCGAGCTTTCACCAAGACCGGAATCATCACTGAACTGCCAGGTAACAGTAACAAAACTGACTCAGATAATGACGAGAGGGATGTGGGCATGCTGGACACCGTAATCACCCAACTGTTTGAACAATTTTGAGTTATTGTGAATACACTAACAATTTAGATCCTCAGACAGTATTTTTTTTACACGCTACAATTGAACAAAGCTGAGAGTTATTGTGAACGTGTTAAATAAAGTTTGACTGACTTATCTAACTGTTGCGTTTCATTTAATGTGCCTTATATTTTGGTGTGGTTTATATGTGAAAAAATTTCAAAATAGACCATTCAATGACACCTTATAATCCAGAGTGCTCTATAGTGCAGAAAATACGGTAATTTGTTTTTATACAGTATGTATTTAAAGGGGCCAAGTCATGTAATGATAAATGGTCACATTTTTATTCATATAGCGCTTTTCCACCTCTGAGGCACTCAAAGCGCTTTACATCAAGGAACCACTCACCCATCCACACACACAGACATTATGACATTTTGACCATGTTTCACTGGTGTTTCCCTATCATTAACTTACTCAAAGTTGTGTTTTGATTGTTTCATGGATATTTGAGTAATCCTCTATTGTCCTAACCTGATTCATCAGTCGGTTTCACTTTGTAGAAACTGTCTAACCTTGCAGTGTTAGAATTTGTTCGCTCGATGGTAGGCGGGTATTTTTTTTAATTTAACCAATCGCTGCTGTTTGGTCGTGACGTATGTAATGCACCACTAACAGGGCTAACTGGAATATTAAGCTTTTCCCAAATCCTGTAGGAAGAAGGGCAATAACATCTTTCCCCTTGATAAAATTCACCAAATATTCTCTTTGTTCTGGCTTTAAATCCTTCATCAGCCAGCCTGGCTAGTACTGTCCTGCATTTGAGACTTGAGTTCACAGAAATTCTTATTTTCACCCACAGCAGTGAAATGTCACTATAAAAAACAGAGGTCTCTCAATTCTTAAGCTTTGAACTACGTTCGGTCATTAAGCCAAGCAATACTGAAGTTTAAGTAAAACAAAACACAGAAAAATTATGTACATATGTTACACAGTATTTCAGTTGGAAGAGCATTTGTCCACTGATCAGAAAGTTAATGGTACCTGCATTCACTGGTGTATGATTGTATGTGTGAATAGGTGAGTGGTTTCTTGATGTAAAGCAATTTAAGTGCCTTGACCATTCATAGTTTAATACATGAAAAAACATAATAACTCTTTTATAAATATATTGTCAAATTTTGATAATTTGGTTTGATAAAATATTGACAGTCTATTAAGACAATAAAAATAAGATATACAAAATATTTATACTCAAATTGTGGTTTTGCACTTTGTTTATCCAAATCTCTTTTATGATATTGAGAAATTAAGAAAATTACCCAATGATCATCACTACAATGCTATAAGCTATAACAGTGCATACTTTGTGTCCTTGGGCAATACACTTGTTCCACCTTGCGCCTGGTGCTTCTGTACAGTATGAATGGATGAAATATTTCCTTGATATAAATGCACTTGATTAAAATGTAACTTGTTTTTGGAGATGTAAAAGTGCTATAATAGTTTTAAGAGGTAGAGAATTTTAATAAAACATGCCTGTCAGTCGTTCAGAGGAGGACAGTTGTAGACTCCAGGAGAAATGTCACAGAAATCAATGTTTGTCCACCAATCAAAAGGTGAAGCAATTCTAGCTCAGACCTGTTTTTGGGCAAACCACTTCACTTGCCACATATGTGTGTGTGTGTGTGTGTGTGTGTGTGTGTGAGATTCATTGGTGATCTGGGTTACTTGATATTTAATAAGGCCATAGTTTAACAAAATGTTTAAATAATAAAGTACTTAAAAAAAATTACCACATTAGCCCTGACCAGTCCCCATAAATCAGATGAACTTTATATTTTAGCCCTATTAAATTAAATTATTTCTATTTAAATATTTTTCCGTGATTTTTGTGGGATTGTGATATTTTATGAGACATCCTGGGATAGTCTGTCTTTAGAGGAGAGGAGTTACACTTGTTGGTCACTAGGTGGTGTCAGATGACCGTCTGGCCACGTCGCGTCTCCTCCCCGCTCCAGAACAGTTTTTTGTTTTAGGACTCGCCCATGAGACGTCCCCCTGCGACCGAGTCTCCATCAAGTTACACACCAGCACACCCGGAACGGAAACGCAAACATTTCTCTTTCTCAATAAGATCGGTCCATCTCTGCAGAGCGTGACGATTATTTCGACAACAAATAGTAAATGTAACTAAATGCAACAATTCATGGATATACATAGCGAATAAAGAAAAATAGAGATCAACATAAATAATAATATGATCATGATAATATGAAAAATACAATTCATGTTATGCATTTTTTGTAGGAACTGAAACCTGTCTGTATTCTTGACTGAACTCAGAGACATAACATTTTGCAGAACATATGGAATACAAAACATGAATTCACTTTTCACTGTAAACCATGTACACCTTGCCAGGATGTCCTTTCGAGAGCATTTCTTATCGTGAAAATCCAAAACGGAAGCTTTGGTTTTCCTCTGTGCGCTTTGACAGTGGCGTGTCAGTCACCATGGTGGCACACAACAGAGTGGAGCGGCGGACCTTCCTTCTCTATTAGCCCCATTAAAATGCTTATGTAAAGCATACTGTAAACAAGCGGACTGGGGTTTACCTCTAATTATGGGCTACAGGCTGATGGTGACTGGATAACCGCTTTCCTTCTGCCTACTTTCTGTTTCCTGGCTCCTCCATGGAATTCTTTCCGTCGCTAAAATGCTGAAGAGACAAGGAATGGCTTTGATGAACAGTGTCTTGCACAGAGGGACAGTTTTAACAATAAGGAAATAATACGAACAAAGTATCAGAGGACTGTATTTTACCAGAGTTGACCCTCTGTGGGTGTTCACAGAGAACCAGAGTTTGAGCCGGGACGCGCAGGAGCCAGACGGACAGCCCGGGGAGAGCGCACGGCTGTCGGGCTCGCGTCGTGGCCTGCCTGGCTCGGGGGCACTCCCAGCCTTTATCCGCTAGCCCCAGCGCTCAGGACGGGGACATTGGCGGACCTTAACAGCATTCCCGAACCCTCCTGGATCTTCCTACACCACCACATAACAGGATAAGTGGCCCATTCGCCCTGCCGCCGGACTCTTCCCACACAATGGCGTCCTATGTGGATAACAGTTTTCGGCAGGCTGTGATGCTCAATCCGGCTGATCGGACGCAACAGGTCAGATAAAGCCGCAAATTTTCTCTTCCCTCATCTCCATTTGTGCCTTTTGTATTACACTGCTTGTGTCCATTTGGTTGTCAGTTATTATATTACAATAACCTTTATCCTAAACATAGTTGGAGGGTTTTGGACATGCAACTGTTGCCTGCACAGTCCTTGTGGCTACATCCCGCTAAGCCTCTATCAGCCCAGATAATCGCGGCTACTTACCAGAAATACTACGAGCTAGAACTGGTCAACCATAACACTGTAGCCTGTTTAGCATTTGAAGTATTATTCCTCAACTATAACACTGTGATTTGCATGAGGAAAAAGTTCTGTGGGCCAATAAGCAAAGGCGCGGACTATGAGAAAACAGACTTGAGCTAATTTGGCTAATTGCTAGTAAACATTAGCTATGCGCATTTGCACGTGTTTTTAGCATTACTACATGCTTATTTCTAGCCTGTTAGCTGGACTGTATGCATATGCGTCTTGTCTGGGGCCCACGGACGGTCGTGAGCTAATTCTGCGGGCTGTGGTTGTTATTCTTGGGGCACGTACTGCACAATCACACCGCTGGTCCCATTTGCGTGTGGCCATTGTAACTGTGCAGACCTAAACGTGCAAAATCTAGCGTGGACTGGAGCATTTTGGGGTTGGGGTATCACCACAAACCGTACATGGGTATCGTTCATTTACGCATCGCCATCGTTTTTGACCAGACACCTGCTTTACCAAAGGTTTTACGCACAATGGACGATCAATAGGCCACCACTTAAACCCCCCAGGCTCCAGTTATGGTGACACAGTAGTCCAAGAGGCTATTATGGTCCAGCTTGTTAACTATATGCTCACACAGTCTGCTTAGAGCTTTGCGTTAAGAGGGCTATCATTTGTGTTTGTGACAGGTGCCTTCATGGCCGTGGAGGGGAGTAGGAATATTGGAATCTGGAAGCAGTCAGTGTTTAGTGACTGTAAACACTCCATCAACAAGTCAAATTGCCTATGGGGAGCTCTAAGCTATTGATTTCTGCCTGCTCACTGGGGATAGGCTTGGAGTAGGTCTAATTTTGCAGTGTTAATAACATCAGAATAACAAAGTCAGCTTATTGAATTTGAGGAATGTGGCCAATGGGCTCTGACATGTAGCATCTGGTTTGGTATGAATGCAAATGTGCAAAATTTGGATAACGGTTGGCTAGTAGGGTGTGATTTTGTACAATTATTCAGCCTATTAATTTATACTAAGAATGTGTAATGTAAATTTGAATACAGTTAGCAGTTCAACTCCTGTAGCCTGGATTTGGGGCAGGTAATAATCAAAAGTTCATAATAACCTTAATTAAGCATGAATAAAGACCTAATTCAGTATGAACAAACATATTCTTAATAATGATTCAGTAACTAACTACACAATGAATATTCCTAACCTTTAACTTATTTAAAGGTATAGTATGGTAAGTTTTTGGAGGTGGCACTTCACCTGCATGATTCCACGTAAATAAAAAGTTAAAACCATAATACGGGACATTTTCCATGGATATGAGTATGTTTTATGCCATACTGTGGAATATTATAGCCAAAGGAACAACATAACCATGTTAGCAGGCTCTTAGTCAGGTTTACAGAGATGAAAGCCAACTCAAAAATTTTTTCCAGGTTTTTCAGTGCAATAAAAACAACCAAGAAAAAAGTTACATACTGAGGCTTTAAGTAGTTACTGTACCTGAATCTAGGGCTGCTTTATGATAGAAAAAATCAGTATCACATTATTTTGGTCAATATTGAAATCCCGAGTATTTTTTAGTTACACGATGCATTTATTTATGCAAAACTTTCTAATTTAATATAAATATAGGCTACAAACATGTACCTTAGAGCAATTTTGCGATGTATAAAACATAAAATAAATGAAATATACTTTGAACATGAAATAAGGCATAGAAAAACATATTTATCCAAAATAAACTATATATCCAGCTGTTAAAAAAAAAAATATATATATTTTATATATATATACACACATAAAAAGTTAAAATAAAAATGAAAAAAAAAAAAAATAAATAAATATAATTATTCATATTAAAAAATATCAGAAAAAATAAACTTTGTTAAACATTATCGTTTCAATTCGATTATATGAGTTTAGAGATTGTTTGACACACAAATCGAAATCTTGATCAAAATTCAATTAATTGCACAGCCTTACCTGAATCATTCTTAAAAACTTGTTTGTTATTAAAACTTTGTTCATGCTTTAATAAGGCTAAGTAAAATGTAGTTTTTATAAAGTGCACCAGTTGTAGTAATAACACAAATCAGTGCATTTCTTGTATTCCTGCATCTAATAATGACAGACAAAAACACAGATTTTTGACTACTTTTATTATGTTTTATCTTGTTTGTCTTTGAATAGCTGCACTTTTCCCAGGCTTCCTTTCTCAGACATCTTAAGTCGGTGGCGGCTCACGCAGTTTACCCTAATGGTTTTGTCACAGCCCTTGTCAGGATTAGCTAACGGTTAGAGGGATCTTTCCTTATCGCTCAGGACTGACCGCAGCTCAGGGACTTGACCCTTCGGCTAACCCCACTGTCACATGGTCACTTAAATAGCCCACCATTGGACAGCTTGTGACCTCCCCTCTTGCTTAGACTAGTCACTGTTTGCATTATTTTTACAGTAGCATAGTGGGCTAAACAGATAAGAATAGACAATAGGGCGGTTTAGTACAGAAGACTAAACAAATGGACTTTATAGTAGGGCTAAACAATTATAAGCTTTGTAACTGCGATTATATTAGAGTGATGTTTCGAAGTTCACATGTCTAGAAGAATAAACAAAAAGACGACAACAAACAGATAAAGCTGCAGTCAACTAAAGAAATTCTTCGACTGAAACACGCATATTGCCGATTTATCAGTCGACTAAAAAGGGAGCGTGGCAAAAGCTCTCAAAACTATTGTTATATTACTATACATACTATTATATGTATCTCCATGTATCTGACCCCATTTCTGCACTCACAAGACCACACCTGCATGGGAGTTCATGCAAAAACAACTCTTTGTGCAGAAAAAAAGTAGTTAGGTAACAATATAAAGACACATTGAATTTGTGAATCATGAGTTTAATCTGCCTTTTTACATAGAAATACCAAAAAATACCAAATCTGGAGCTAATTCATTCACTTGTCCTCCTAAATAAATAAAATGAAATAAATGACTTAAGGACTACAGCCCCACATACTAATAATTACATAGATTTCAGGAAATGCTACAGTTTTATGCAGAATAAGACAGTATATATTGTTTTTGTGGAAGAAATTATGGTACTTTAAAAACTGCCATTGCCATTTTTTATTTGTGAGTCCCATTTGATTCTGATTAATTTTATTACCCTACTTTATGGTTGGTCAGTTTCGACATAAATTGAATAATCTCCCTGCTACATATATTCATTTTTATGTCGTATGATTGTCCTTCACTGTCTCCTCTCCAATCCTTTTCTCTTCAAATCACTGCAAAGGGCATCCGCGTTATTTGATTTACAGACGCAATTCAATATCCAACTAAAATATAGCTTGCCTCAGCCTTGGCGAAGGTTTTGACAGTAAGTATATTCTATGTTTAGATCTTTGTATGCTAAGCCTGCCCTCACAATGCAGAGTTGAAGGTTTAGCATTTTTCGTTACCCCCACGTAGCTCGCGGTTAGGCAGACGCGTCCACTTCTCAGGCCAGGTGGTGAAGCTAAAGGCCACAATGAGCACTTCTCCAATGCAAAGACCTGCTTTCTGGTGCACTCTGTCACTGCAAGGACAACCAGGCTGCTTTGCATTTCTTCCACATATACTTGGAGATTTAGGGCGTGCATACAACAACAAGATCAGGGCTAAACTTAGACTAAATCTGAACCTAAACCTGGACTAGGCCTGTCACGATAACACATTTTGAAGCATGGTATATTGCTACATAGAAATATAACGATAACAATCAACCAGGATAACCCCAGAGAACCATTATTGACAGTAGTAGCATTAGTAGTATCTTAGTAGTATTAGTATCAGCCAGTTTCACTTTGTGCAAACCGTCTGACCTTGCAGCATTAGGATGCGTTCGCTCGACGGTAGGCAGGTGCTTTTTAAAAAAAATTTATTGAACCAATCGCTATTTATTTGGTCGTGATGTATGTAATTCGCCTCTAACGGGGCTAACTGGTATATTAAGCTTTTCCCAAATCCCATAGAAAGAAGGACAATAACGTCTTTCGCCATGATAAAATTCACCAAACATTCTCGGGAATCTGTGACAACACTGAATATATGGCTCTTCGCTGATTGGCTGGTGCCCGAACTCGCTTTTCCGGGGTTTTTGCGAACCGTCTAGTGCATTCTAATTCCTGACCTAGTTGCTGGAGAGAAATTAAATTGAGGGGTGGCACTAGGTGGCGCCAGCCTGGCCAACTTATTAAATCCTCTACAGCTCAAACCTTATTGTATTAAAATGACAAAAATCTCCTCATTATTGCAATAACTGAGCCCAAAAATATATTGTTCCAGCTTTTATATATTGAAATACTGAGTAATTATCATGACAGACCTAATCTGAGCTAAACCAGGACTAGAACAGCACCAACCCCAGTCTTCATTCAAGACTAAACTGGACTCAAAGCAGGACCCAATAAGGACAAGTTGTACAACGTTTTGCAAAAACTGTAAAAATACAATAGGTATTCAGAATCCATTACGTAAAGTGGCACTACCCGATTTTTCTCCAGTTAAGCAAAATTTGTCCTCTATCTTCCGAGAACCAGGATGTGTGCTGTTAGCATGCTATTGTTTATTAGCATTATTGTGAGGGCTCTGCTCTGGCCTCTGAAAGTTGCGAGACACACTTATAAACACGTCATAGTGAATAATTAGGTGTTAGGAATACGGTAGGAAAGCAAGGAATAACATTAAACCATTTAAAATAGTTCTGAGGCCAACTTTAAACTGGTATTTTGGGTTGAGCATTC